TTTCTCGGGAGTAGCCCTACAGTTAAGTTCTGCCCAAATCTATGTTAAAACAAAAGTCCTATAGGTGGACATTGGTTGAAACATGAATATGTTGGCTTGACCTCTGGCGGCAACCCTGCGCCATGAAGGGGAAGCGGCAGGTGGAGGCTGTGGAGCAAGACAGGAGGAGCTTGGGTTCCAGATGCTGTGCTGGTGCCACACCAGTGCTGACTGCTCATCTCTGGACTTCGTTCAGATGAGAAAAACTAGCTTCTGGTGTTAGCTTCATAGGTACTGTGATTGGAATTTCCTGTCTCTTGCCTATGCTAATTTTAAGTGATACTTTTTAAATTTTAATATGTGATTTATTAAACATATATTATAATCCAAATTTTGGGGCAGGCACGGTAGCATAGCAGGTAAAGCCACCACCTGCAGTGCTGGCATCCCATATGGGCATCAGTTCGAGTCCTGGCTGCTTCACTTCCAATCCAGCTCTCTGCTATGGCCTGGGAAAGCAGTAGAAGCTGGTCCAAGTGCTTGGGCTCCTGCACCCACGTGGGAGATCCAGAAGAAGCTCCTGGCTTCTGGCTTTACACCAGTACAGCCAGTGAACCAGCGGTCATCTGGGGAGTGAACAGTGGCTGGAAGACCTCTCTCTCTCTGCCTCTGCCTCTCTGTAACTCTGCCTTTCAAATAAATAAATAAATCTTCAAAAAAATCCGAGTTTTCCCTTATGCTTCTAAATTCCAATGAAAAATCTCAATATTCTGGTTTCTTTTTTTAAAGATTTATTTATTTACTTGAAAGGAAGAGTTACACAGAGAGGGAAGGAGAGGTGGAGAGGCAGAGAAAGAGAGAGATAAGTCTTCCATCCGCTGGTTCAGTCCCCAATTGGCTGCAATGGCCGGAGCTGCACTGATCCAAAGCCAGGAGCAAGAATATTCCTCCTGGCCAGCGCTGTGGATCACTAGGCTAATCCTCCGCCTTGCGGCACCGGCACACCGGGTTCTAGTCCCGGTCGGGGTGCCGGATTCTGTCCCGGTTGACCCTCTTCCAGGCCAGCTCTTTGCTGTGGCCTGGGAGTGCAGTGGAGGATGGCCCAAGTGCTTGGGCCCTGCACCCCATGGGAGACCAGGAGGAAGCACCTGGCTCCTGGCTTGGGTTCGGTGCAGCGCGCTGGTCGCGGCGGCCATTGGAGGGTGAACCAATGGCAAAGGAAGACCTTTCTCTCTGTCTCTCTCCCACACTGTCCACTCTGCCTGACAAAAAAAAAAAAAAAAAAGGAGAAGATTCCTCCATGTCTCCCACATGGGTGCAAGGGCCCAAGGACTTGGGCCAACTTGTACTGCTTTCCCAGGCCACAGCAGAGAGCTGGATTGGAAGTGAAGGAGCCAGGACTCGAACTGGCGCCCATCTAGGATGCCGGCACTGCAGGTGGCAGCCTTACCCACTATGCCACAGCCCACAGCGCTGGCCCCTCAATATTCTTTAACAAATCTAATAAATGTTAACAACCACTTGAGCAATACTTAACCCTACTTATAAATCATACTTTCAAATATTTTAAGCTGCATTTATATATTTGTATATATAATCTTTTTATATTTTATTTTCTTATTGCAAAATATACTAAACAAAATTTATCACCTTAGTCATTTTTACATGGATAGTTCAATGGTATTAAAATACATTCATGGGGCTGGCACTGTGGTACAGTAGGTTAATCCTGCACCTGCAGCACAGGCTTCCTATATGGGTGCAAGTTCTAGTCCTAGCTGCTCCATTTCTGACCCAGCTCCCTGCTATGGCCTGGGAAAGCAGTAGAAGATGGCCCAAATCCTTGGATCCCTGCACCCGCATGGGAAACCCAGAAGAAGCTCTTGGCTCTTGGCTCCTAGCTTTGGATCCACCCAGCTCCATTGCAGCCATTTGGAGAGTGAACCAGCGGATGGAAGATGTTCCTCTTTGTCTCTCCCTCCCACTGTCTGTAACTCTGCCTCTCAAATAAGTAAATAAAATCTTTTAAAATAAAATAAAATACATTAATAATGGGGCCAGCTAACCTTCTGCCTAACACCAGCATCTCACATGAGCTCAGATGGGAGTCCCGGCTCCTCCACTTTTAATCCAGCTCCCTGCTAATGTGCCTGGGAACGCAGCCACTGACGGCTCAAGTGCTTGGGCCCCTGCAACCCACATGGCAGACTCAGGAGGAGCTCCAGGCTCCTGGCTTCAGCCTGACCTAGTCCCAACTGTTGCAGCCATTTGGTGAGTGAACCAGTGGATGGAAGATCTTTCTTTGCTTCTGCCTCTCAAATAATAAAACTCTTTTTTAAAAAATGATAATATACAATATTGTAAAGAGAAAGAATGGAGGGGGAGGGGCTGACATTCCAGCACAGAGGGTTAAGCCAAGGCCTGGGACACCAGCATTCCATATCAGGGTGTCTAGGACTGAGTTCCATCTCTGCTTCCTGCTAATGCACCTGTGAGGCAGTCAGGAGTACTGAATCTTTTTTTCTGTCAAGGACCATTTCTATGTTTATAACAATTCATGGGTCAAACAAAATCGTGAACTTAAAAATTAGCCTGGGGCCAGCGGTGGGGCTCTGTATCAGGTAAAGCCACTGTCTGCAACACAGGCATCCCATATGGGCACCAATTTGTGTCCTGGCTGCTCCACTTCCTATCCAGCTTCCTGTTAATGCCCCCAGGAAAGCAGCAGAAGATGGCTCAAGTGCTTGGACCCCTGTCCCATGTTGAAGACCCAGAAGAAACTCCTGACTCCTGCCTGAGGTCTGGCCCAAACCTGGCCATTGTGGACATTTGGGGAGTAAACCAATGGATGGAAGATCTTTTTCTCTCCCTGTAAATCTTTCATATAAATAAAGTAAATATATTTTTTAAATTAGTCTGCTGTAGATGTATTGAATTTCTAGTTCTGCCTGGAGTTGCCTTGACAGGGCCAGACCAAATGATTTCTCATGCCTTATACAGCCTGCGGGCCAGACTGCCCCACCTCCGTGAGTAGATGATGGCTCCAGTGTTTGGGTTATTGCTACACATATGGGAGACACAGATGGAGTTCCTGGCTCCTGGCTTCAGTATGGCCCTGCCCTGGTTGTTGCAAACATTTGAAGAGTGAACCAGCAGAGGAAAAACCTCTCCCCACCCCCACCTCTGCCCATCACCCTTCTATCACTCTGCCTTTCAAATAGATATTTTTTAAGGGGCTGGCGCTATGGCATAGGGGGTAAAGCCACCGCCTGCAGTGTCAGCATCCCATATGGATGCCGGTTTGAGTCCCAGCTGCTCCACTTCCAATCCAGCTCTCTGCTGTGCCTTGGGAAGCAGTAGAAGATGGCCCAAGTCCTTGGGCTCCTGCACCCACGTGGGAGACCCAGAGAAGGCTCCTGGCTTGACTGGCACAGCTCCAGCCATTGCGGCCAATTGGGGAGTGAACTAGCAGATGGAAGACCTCTCTCTTTCTTTCTCTCTGCCTCTCCTCTCTTTGTGTAACTCTGACTTTCAAGTAAATAAATAAATCTTTTAAAAAATAAAGAAAAAGAAACCTTGGACTCATCATGATCTCCTTCCTTCTCCCCTCCTCCCATATTCAACCAATCAGCAAATTCAGTCACTTCTATCCCCAAAACATATCTCAAACCCATCTTTCCTGGGTCACCACCTTGGTCCTGCAAAAACATTCCAGCAATTTCACTTTCTACTCCCTCCAGCCTCATTCATTCCCCAAATAAGAGCTAGAACAATGTTTTATTAACATGAATCAGGTCATATCACTTTCTGCATAAAACCCTTCCAGGGCTTCCCCTGGCACTCTGAATAAAACCTAAATTCTTACCACTGAGAATTCTTGTATCCATCAGGCCATCCTGGCTCACTGCCTAAGGGCTGAGACCTTCTCAAGGACCTATAAAAAATGTTTGGGACGAGAAAAAAAAAAAAAAAAAAAAGAATTGGCTCCAAAAAGATACAAAGCCGAAACTGATACATGTAACTCAGCCTTTAGTAGTTGCGTTTTTTCAATTTGCTAAATATAAAAAGTTCCCCAAATGCAGGAGACTCTTTCCCATTTCTGCTTCTCCCCCGGCCCTGCTCCAGCAGACCAGATCCGTCTCTGTCAGTTCTCAAATGAGACGTCACCGCCTCAGAGGGACCTGGGTAACCAGTCCATCTAAAGCGGCTCCCCCTCCACACACACCTGCTGTTCCCTGCCGCCTCATTTCCTCTCCTCATCGCCCTTGCCATCTGTAGATCCTTCGTGTGTTTATCCTACCTTCCCCATTACACTACTAAACGCCATGAAGGCAAGAAACGTATGTGTCTTGTTCTGCGTTGTATCCTTAGGCCTACCCCAGTGCCTGGCCCAGCACAGGCTCCAACAGTTACTGAATGAATTAATGAGCGAATGAATGAAAGAGGGAATGAGAACCGAAGCTTGGGGGAGAGGGTTCTGCTAAGAAGACCTGCCTCGGACTCCAGCTTGGCAGGCTGGAGGCGTTTCTCTTCCTTGGATTCTAGGCAGACAAGCAGGTTTTAAAAGGAAATATTTGGAGGTTCCCCCTCCCATACACACACACACATAAAATTTCGATGAAAGCCATCGGGGTGAGGGTGCAGGGAATCAAACACTGACCCAAAACTAGGCAAAAGGGAAACGCCTGTGGGACTCGCCGGTTTGCACCCTCCCCGCCCCAAGACCGCCATGGCTCCAGTCCTTTCGTGTCCAGCTTGGAGCAGAGCGGCTGTCGCCCGGGTTCGGCCTCCCAAGGCCTCACCGCCATTAATCGCTCACGAGAAGCGGAGCACCATGGGAGCTGGGCTCCTGTTATTCATGAGGGGGCGGAGCCTCCTTCCGCCGGGGCTCCTGGGAGGAATCTAAGTTATCGCTGTGGAAGGAGAGCCCCACGGGACCGGGACCGCGTCTGTGCACGGCGGGGCGGGGCGGGGCGGGGCGGGGTCTCCCTCCCGCTGGGGATCTTGGGAGGATTCTGAAATCTGCTGGAGCCCGCGGGGGCGCCAGCCTGGAACGCCGCTCCGGAGTCGGCCCGAGGCAGAGGCTCTTCCCGGCGGGAAAACCCTGAGGAGAGATTTTTTTCTTTTTAAACATTAAGTAATTTGAGGATGATGGGGAAATACGACTAAAGCCCATTTCCCGTGATTGTGTAACCGGAAAACTCAAAATCTGTGGTAAAAAGTGGTTTTGTTCCCCCCTCCCCCGCCCGTACTTTCTTGTGGAGATAATTTCAGCTTTTCATGGACTGAAGCGAGTCAAAAATGCATCACCGGGCGCGGTGATTCTCCTGTTGGCCGATTTTCCTCATGGTCTCCGGCGTTTACCTCTTTGGAGATGTTTTGGCCTAATTCCGATCAGATGGGGTGGATCCCTTCAAAGCGTTGTGTTTTAAAACAAAACAAATCCCGCTGGTTGTCGTTTAAGGGTTTTGGTGTTTTTTTCCTGAAGGGGGAAAAATGTTCACCTAATAGGGCGCTCAAAACCTGTCGCGCTCAAGTATGAGTGGAGTGGACCAGGGCTTTATTCTTGGCTGACTCCCACTCTCCAGCGGGGTGATAGGAAACCAGGAATAATACGGGATTTTCGGAAAAGGCTGCTTACCCCAGAGTGTCCCGATTGAGGAAAATAAGAGATTGAAAGAGGAGACTCGGGTTTTAAAGAATTTTGGTTTTTTTTTTTTTTTTTTTTTTTTTTTTAAGAACTCCGATCTGAGAGGTTTCCAAACAGAGATACCTCGTGGTTGACACACTTAGGGTCCCCCTTGAGTTCTGAGAAGCCCATAGGCCCCTGCTCAGGCCCCCTTCCTGCAGATAAACAGGACAAAACAAGCCAGATTGGTGTTCTCTTATAATGGAAAAGTTCTAATATGCCTGTTGTGATGAGTTACAAACCTCATTGACTAAGTAAACTAGGATTTTTCTAGCTATTAGAGCATGTATACTTGCACAAGTATATTTATTGGCATGGAAAAAGAATTCATTGAATAAAGCAGATTTAAAAATAGTATCACTAAGGATCCCTCTGCTTTGTTAAGAAATAAATACATATTATATATTAAAATATATATAGATATATATGTAAAATTCTGGAATGATAGAAACTAAAACATAAGTGAATTTAATTTTTTGCATTTTTATTTAGTTGTGTTATGCCATGTTACTTGTGTAATAGTTTTTTTAAAATGTCCACTAATAATGTAAAAGTTATTTTAAGATGTCTGCTAATTTAAATATTCCCAGACTAGTTTAAATGTTCACGGAATGCCAAAGCCCAGTACTATGGTGTTGTTTAAAAGAAATTCAGATTCTTCTCCCCACCCACCAGGCACTCAATTTTTTTGTCATGTTTTCAGATGTATAACTCAAATAAATATAAGTTACTATGTAACCTTTTAAGATGGATAAGTAACAATGTGATTTTAGCAATTTTGTTTGGCAAGGGGAAAATGAATTTGGGTCAGATATTTTTGTAACTCTGATGAAACATAGTAATTGTTACTTTGGAAACAATGACATTAGAGCTGTAGTTATGCATTTATATAGGTATATATACCAAAAATACATTGTTTCCAGAACTGAAATGATAAAATGACAGTCACTGTGTATGATACAGAATGCATAATATATTTTAAGGAATTGTTTTTTATTGTGAGTAATCAGTGGTTTTTAGTAAGCCACATTTAACAAGTTCTCTTTAGGAAATAATCATATATATATATATATATATATATTTGAAATAAATAAAGGAGAGAGGTAGAGACAGAGAGAGGTCTTCATCCCTGGTTCACTCCCCAAATGGCTGCAAAAGCCAGAACTGGGCCCATCCAGAACCAGCAGCTTCTTCCAGGTCTCCCACGTGGGTGTGCAGGGGCCCACGGACTTGGGCCATCCTCCTCTGCTTTTCCAGGAGCATTATCAGGGAGCTGGATCAGAAGTGGAGCAGCTGGGACTCAAACTGGTGCCCATATGGGATGCTGGCACCGCAGAACAGGGCTTTAACCCACTGTAACATATCGCTGCCCTTGGAAATGTTCCTCTTTAAAGTCAGGTTTTAGAGGCTGGTGCTGTGCGTAGCAGATGAAGCCTCCAATGGCCAAGGGTTCAAGTCCCCTCTAATACACCTGGGAAAAGCAGCCTTGCCCCTGCACCTATACAGGAGACCCAGAAGAAGCTTATGGTTTGCAGCCATTTGGGGAGTGATGGAAGATCTCTTTCTCTTCCTCTCTGACTTTCAAATAAATAAAATAAATCTTTAAAAAAAGACATGTTTTGCTCTTCCTAAGATTTACCAGTGATTATTATTAACATAAGATATAACAGAAGAATTATTATTCATCTATTTAGTTTATCAATTTGATAAAACTTTAATTCACTGCTTATTTGTATATACAGCACAAATTGGAAATAGTAATGCCACCAACTTAATCTGAGGTAGTAAATTTAAGTAGTTCTAGTCTCTATTTCTTCTTTCTTTCTTTTTTTTTTAAGATGTATTTATTTGAAAGGCAGAATTATAGAGAGAGAGAAGGAGAGACAGAGATCTCCCATCTGCTGGTTCATTCCTTATATGGCCACAGCAGCTGGTGCTGGGCCAGGGCCAAACCAAAGCCAGGAGCCAGGAGCTTCATCTGGGTCCCAAGTACTTGGGCCATCCTCCACTGTTTTTCCAGTCGCATTAGCATGGAGCTGGATCAGTAGAGTAGCCAAGACAAGAAAACTGCATTCATATGGGATTCTGGAGTAGCTGGCAGCAGCTTAACATGCTGCACCATAATGCTAGGCACCCTCTTTATTTTTAATGTTTCTAATGAAAGAACCTGTCAATATTCTGTTTTAAAGAAATTTAAAATATCTCCACAAAATTTTAAGCTACATTAATACTTCTTTAAAATATATAAATGTTGTAAAAGCAAATTAGTATTTAATATTGAATTTTTATGTTATATTGATTTTTTTGTGTTAAATCATTTACTATTTTCCTCTTTTGCATTTATATTTTCTTTTTTTGTAAGATTTATTTATTTATTTGAAAGTCAGAATTACGCAGAGAGAGGAGAGGTAGAGAGAGAGAGAGAAAGAGATCTTCCATCTGAATTTTCACTCCCCAATTGGCCTCAAAGGGCCAGAATTGCACCGATCCCAAGCCAGGAGCCAGGAGATTCTTCCAAGTCTCTTACACGGGTGCAGGGGCCCAAGGACTTGGGCCATCTTCTACTGCTATCCCAGGCCATAGCAGAAAGCTGGAGCAGAAGAGGAGCAGCCACGACTAGAACCGGCGCCAATATGGGATGCGGGCGCTTCAGGCCAGGGCATTAACCCTCTGAGCCACAGCACCGGCCCTGCATTTATATTTTCTTAGAATATATCTCATCCAAATATAGGTTTCCTTTCCTACTAAAATTCACTCTATCCAGAATATTTGGTCAAGTAGTAAAAGATTTTAAATTTTTTCTTTTTATAAAAAAAGATTTTTTTGTGTATTTGAAAGAGTTTCAGAGAGAGGGGAGAGAAAGGGAGGTCTTCCATCTACTGGTTCACTCCCCAGATGACTGCAATGCCAGGAGCCAAAAGATTCTTTGGGGTCTCTCACATGGGTAGCAGCAGCCCAAACACTTGGCCCATCTTCCCCTGCTTTTCCCATGTCATTAGCAGGGAGCTAGATTGGAAGAAGAACAGCCAGAACACAAACCGGTACCCATTTGGGATGCTGGGTTCGTAGGCAGTGGCTTTACCCTCAGTGCCAGCCCCTTAAAATTTTTCAGATGATGGCAACGTGAGTAAATAGACTGTATTGATGGGAGCTCGGTGAACTGGGCATCATAGAAGAGTTTTGTAGATATGGAGAGGCAGTTATTACCCATCAAACTATTGACCTTTTCACTTAAAAAAAAAAAAAAGACAATTCATTACTTTAATTTCCTTTCTGCTTTGTACTTTCTTTTTGTAAACAGGATAAATTCATGAGATAAGAACAAGGATGGCATCTAAGATAAATACTGGTTTCACTGTGATTCCCAGCCAGAAATATAGACGTAGCAATCGTCATTCCAGCGACTTTTCCAACACTCTTGATTCAGAGGCTCAGCCCTTATCAACACTTGGAAGTTTTAAAGCCTTGCCGTTGGAAGTATTTCAAATAATTTTGAAATATTTGTCAGGTGAGGTTTGGGGCCTATGAGTAGGCTACACAAGATACTAGAATAATTTAATTTCCCCTGAGAACTAGTTTATCATCTTAGGCCCTGCTAAAATGTTAATAATGATACTTATGTTTTTTTTAAGATTTCAACATTGTTAGATAAGGGGTCAATGAGAAAGCACAAAATTCAGACTGTTTAAAAGCATACTTCGAATCATAATGGCATGGTAACCTGATTGTTACATCTAACATTTCTAATTTATTAATAATTGGATGTAAAACAATATTCAGACTTTTTAGATTTTTACCTGCCTGGCTTATCATTGTTATTTTTTAACTTTTTTAAAAATTATTTATTTATTTATTTATTTGAAAGGCAGAGTTAGAGCAAGAGATATCTTCCATCCGCTGGTTCCCTCCCCAAATGGCTACAATGGCCATCCTGGTCTCTTACATGGATGGGAGAGTTCCAGGCACTCAGAACTTTTTCCACTCCCTTTCCAAGTGCATTAGCAGGGAACTGGAATGGAAGTGGAGCAGCTGGGATTCAAACCAACCCCTCAGGTATGCCAGCGTATCAGGTAGCCGCTTGATCTGTTATGCCACTATGCTGACCCACAGGCTTATCATTCTTAATGAATTAACTTATAAGATAATAAACTGGGGGCCAGCAATGGGGCACAGCCTGTAAAGCTGCCACCTCTAATGCTGGCATCCCAAATGGACGCTGGTTCCTGTCCTAGCTGCTCCACTGCCAGTCCAGCTCCCTGCTGGTGACCTGGGAAAAGCAGTGGAAGGTGGCCTAAGTGCTTGGGCCCCTGCTACCAGTGTGGGAGACCTGCAAGATGCTCCTGGCTCCTGGCTTTGGCCTGGTCCATCGCTGGCTGTGTCAGCCATCTGGGGAGTGAACCAGTGGATGGAGGATCTGTCTCGCTCTCTCTCTGTCAAACTCTGCCTTTCAAATAAATAAGTAAATCTAAAAAAAAAACAAAACAAAACAAAACAAAAAACAAAAAAAAAACCCTGCTAACAGTGACATTCTTCTGTTTAAACCATTCATAAATGTATATATGCATGTATCTGTTCTTTTGGTAGTGAAGGATATCAGCATGTTAAGTATGGTGTCCAAAACAGTGAGCCAGAACATTATTAATTACATCTCAACTTCATCAGGAAGCAAAAGACTTTTGCTACAGGACTTTCATACTCTTGAGCTACATGGCAGGAGACAGAACTTTGGTATCCTGGAGCACTACCGATCTCTAGGTAATTTACATAAAGAGAATTGCAAAAAGTAAAGAAGTGTGCCTAATTGAGAGGATATTATACAGTCCTGTAATGCTAGCAGGAAGTGAAATACTTCCTAAAATGTGCCCATTTCTATGATGGTGTTACTCTTCAGTGTGAGGACTTTCTCCTAACAGCCCCTTGCACTTTAAAAAAGAAAATACATTTCAATGCAAAGTCCTGTGATTTCATGTGAGTACAATGTCACCCATGCTTATTGACTAGGTGCTTTACCAGTTTTGGAAACATGTGCTTTAATTCCTGTGGATTCAATGAGTTTTATCTCCTTAGCACTTTTCCCTTCAACCATAATCTAGTCCTTAAAAAAAGGAGTGTAAACACATTATTATGGAGTATCGTGTGCTCTCTTATCAGAAACTATGGTTTTCTTTTTTTAAGCACTGTGCAATTACTAATAAATCATTATGCTATAATTAAATTGACTTTATCAAAGGAAATTCTGTATAATCTTTCTTCCCTTGATATGTAATCATTTATATCTTTTACCCCATTCATTAATTTCATTCTCCCTAGAGCGCTGAAATAAAATTCTAATTTCAACTTGACTAATGATACCAACTTAATTATGAAACCACTTTATAATTAACCAAAGCATGGCAATAAAACCAAGAATCACAATGATGTTGGGATTAAATAAAGACCCAATAATAAGTTAAATATTTCCTTTTGGTGGCCCAAAAGTGCCAAGTTGTGTTTTTGTTTTGTTTTGTTTTTTTTTTTTTTTTTTGCAGGCAGAGTAGACAGTGAGAGAGACAGAGAGAAAGGTCTTCCTTTGCCGTTGGTTCACCCTCCAATGGCCGCCGCGGCCGGTGTGCTGCGGCCTGCGCACCGCGCTGATCCGATGGCAGGAGCCAGGTACTTCTCCTGGTCTCCCATGGGGTGCAGGGCCCAAGGACTTGGGCCATCCTCCACTGTACTCCCTGGCCACAGCAGAGAGCTGGCCTGGAAGAGGGGCAACCGGGACAGAATCCGGTGCCCCGACCGGGACTAGAACCTGGTGTGCCGGCGCCGCTAGGCGGAGGATTAGCCTATTGAGCCGCGGCGCCGACCTTTTTTTTTTTTTTTTTTTGACAGGTAGAGTTAGACAATGAGAGACAGAGAGAAAGGTCTTCCTTTCATTGGTTCACTCCCCAAATGGCTGCTACAACTGGCGCTGCGCTGATCCAAAGCCAGGAGCCAGGTGCTTCTTCCTAGTCTCCCATGTGGGTGCAGGGGCCCAAGCACTTGGGGCCATCCTCCACTGCCTTCTTGGGCCACAGCAGAGAGCTGGCCTGGAAGAGGAGCAACCGGGACAGAATCCGGCGCCCATATGGGATGCCGGTGCCGCAGGCGGAGAATTAACCAAGTGAGCCGCGGCGCCGGCCCCAAAGATGCCTAGTTTTGAGATAATAAAATAGGACTATGTAAATATTCAACTATGGCAAAGTATATTTGAAAAGTATATTTAGGGGGCTGGTGCCATGGCGTAGAGGATAAAGCCTCCTCCTGCAATGCCAGCATCCCATATGAGCACCAGTTCAAGTCCCGGCTGCTCCATTTCCAATTCAGCTCTCTGCTGTGGCCTGGGAAAGCAGTAGAAGATGGCCCAAGTCCATGAGAGACCCAGAAGAAGCTCCTGGCTCCTAGCTTCGATTGGTACAGCTCCAGCCATCGTGGCCATCTGGGGAGTGAACCAGTGGATGGAAGACCTCTCTATCTCTCTGCCTCTGCCTCTCTGTAACTCTGCCTTTCAAAAAAAAAAAAGTACATTTAATAAGACCAAGTGAGATATATGTGTTTAATTTCTGTTAATGGTTTCAATATTTATGACTGGGTTAATAAAGCCTGTAACAAAATACTTTTTGCTACTTCTCATTGAAAATATCTTTTTTCAAGCATTGTTAGTTGCAGGGGAAGTGGTACTTGGGTAATAGGAGGTACTTCAAACACTTCAAGGAAATATCTTTATTATTAAGATATATTTATTTATTTGAAAGGCAGAATAACAGAGAAGGAAAGAGACAGAGATCTTTCATCTGCTCGTTCACTCCCCAAATAACTACAACAGTGGGGGCTAGTCCACACTGAAGCTAAGAGCTATGAACTCCTTCAGAATCTCCCACTTGGGTAGCAGGAGCACAAGCACTTGAGCCATATTCTGCTGCTTTCCCAGGTGCATTGGCAGGAAGCTAGATCAGAAGCAGAGCAGCCAGGCCTAGAACCAATTGCTCCCATATGGGATGTCAGTGTCACAAGTGGCAGCTTACTGTATGTACCACAATGCTAGCCCCTATTTTTTTTTTAAGATTTATTTCTTTATTTGAAAGGTAGAGTGATGGGATGGAGGGAGCGGGGAGGTATCTTCCATCTATCTCATTCATTCCTCAAATGCCTAAAACTGTTGGGCCTAGACCAAGCCAAAGCCAGAGGCCAGGAACTCTAACAGTCTCCCATATGAGTGGCAGGGATTCAAGTACTTGGGCCATCATCATCTACTGCTTTCCCAGGTGCATTATCAGGAAACTAGATCAGAAGCAGAGCAGCCAAGACTCAAACTGGCACTCTGATATGGGATATTAGGGTTACAAAGGTGGCAGCTTAATCTGCCACACAACTTTACCTTTTAATTCTGTGTTTGATGAATGTTTTGGAGAACTCATAAAGCTTATCCTTTGGTTTTTTTTTTTTTTAATTTTTAAAAAATATTTATTTTATTTATTTGAAAGAGTTACAGAGAGGGAGAGATTCTTTTTTTTTTTTTTTAAGATTTATTTATTTGAAAGTCAGAGTTACACAGAGAGAGGAGAGGCAGAGAGAGAGAGAGAGAGAGGTCTTCCATCTGATGGTTCACTCCCCAGTGGGCCACAACGGTTGGAGCTGTGCCAATCTGAAGCCAGGAGCCAGGAGCTTCTTCTGGGTCTCCCACGTGGGTGCAGGGACCCAAGGAGTTAGACCATCTTCTACTGCTTTCCCAGGCCATAGCAGAGAGCTGGATCGGAAGTGAAGCAACCGGGTCTCGAATCTGCGCCACAGCGCAGGCCCCAAGAGAGGGAGAGATCTATCCACTGGTTCACTCCCCAAATGATCACAATACCAGGGCTGAGCCATGCAGGATTCAGGAGCCAGGAGCTTCATCAGAGTCTCCCATGTGGATTGCAGAGCCCCAAGTACTTGGGCCTTCTTCCACTGCTTTTCCTAGGCCATGATCAGGGAGATGGATAGGAAATGGAGCAGCTTGTATTTGAACTGGCACCCCTATGGGTGTTGTAGGTGTTGCAGGCATTGCAGGCAGCAGCTTTACCCCTCTAAGCCACAACTCTGGCCCCTATTCTTTGGTTTTGATCTGAAAGAATTTCTTTCTCCTTGACTAAGTTTCAGTTGCTTAAACAAACAAAAAAGCATTAAGACAATTATATGGATCGTTTAGTTAAAAAGTAAAAATACCAGTCTTAATAGCCAGCTAATCATCGCACTGTGGTGGATTCCGGTGCCGCAGCTCACTAGGCTAATCCTCCGCCTTGCGCGCGCCGGGCACACCGGTTCTAGTCCCGGTCTGGGCGCCGGATTCTGTCCCGGTTGCCCCTCTTCCAGGCCAGCTCTCTGCTGTGGCCAGGGAGTGCAGTGGAGGATGGCCCAAGTCCTTGGGCCCTGCACCCCATGGGAGACCAGGAGGGGCACCTGGCTCCTGCCATCGGATCAGCACGGTGCGCCAGCGCGTGGCGGGCCATTGGAGGGTGAACCAACGCAAAAGGAAGACCTTTCTCTCTCTGTCTCTCTCTCTCACTGTCCACACTGCCTGTCAAAAAAAAAAATGGTTTTATTCGTGTAATGATTGCAGCTTTCCATTTAATTTTGATGCAGACACCTGGTTTATGTCTAATTCTTTAGGTAAATGTTTGATGGTAAGTACGTTTTCTCATGTTGCCATTCCTATCGGATCTTTTCTTGTTTTCAGACATTAAAATAACATTTTCAGAATCCTGCACTTTAGAGATTATAAATTTTAATTTGCTTCTTCATACAAAGCAGAGCAGATGGGCAGTGTGGAAAGAACATTACATCTGATTCTATTTTAGTGGGGAGAACTTAAAGAAGTTGGTCTCTAAAGGGTACAGCAGAGCACCTGTGTGGGAAAAAAAGTAAATCAACCAGTATTGGGTTTTATGGTAAATTGTAATCCTTAAAAATAGGAGTTTTACATTAGAAAGGCAACCAACATGCAATTATAATTCCCCAGCTATGATATACAGACTAGATGCCGAAATATGAAGGGAAAAAAAAAGTTCAGCCTAAAAACCAAACACTGAAAATGTCTTTTATATACAAAAATAAGGAGAGTTTATGTTTAAAACTCAATTCTGGTCATATGTTTCCCAAACATAGCCATTTCTAAAAATAAATTAGATTCCCATAGATTCTTCAGAATTATATAAAGTAGATATTATATTATATAAAAAGTAAATGCAAAGAAGTTGAAAACTGAAGAAAGTCATGAAATGCAGGCATATATTTCTCTACTATGTATCTTATTTTTAGTTTGAGGACATCTGTCCCGATAGGAATTCTAACAGTGCATTGCCATTTTAGGAAAAACAGAACACTTAGAAGAAATAAATCATATACTTCCTGTCACTGTGGTTCAAGTCACATATCTCACTGAGAACTGAGGTGCTTTTTTTCTTTTTAAAATGTCTGAACACAAAATCCTATACATTCTTAACGTACAAACTCCATAAAAGGATATCTTTCAAGGAAGAAATAGGTATTTCATCCAAACTATACACCCTCTGTGAGCAAAGATGACTTCTACCCTCTGAAATTTTAAGTACTAAGATTTCAATTATTTTGTATTTGGAGAAAGGAATATCAACCTCTTTTCCCAGTCTTCCTATGCCTTACATTAACAACTCATAAAGCATTTTCCTTTGTGGCCATGAGGTTAATTTCAAGAGATATTGCAATATATTTTCTAGGAAATAAAGACAAAGTTTCCCTAATGTATAATTATATCTTATTATTATATCTTTTTAAGTCTAAATAATTTTCTGTAGCATCAATTTGGTATCCTGGAGCACTACCGATCTCTAGGTAATTTACATAAAGAGAATTGCAAAAAGTAAAGAAGTGTACCTAATTGAGAGGATAACAATGTTATCCCAAGGCCTCTTAGACAGAAATCAGAATCACTTAGAGAACTCCATATAATTATTTAATACCCTTTCTCCCAAACTTTCTGGTACAAATCATATCAACTCATAGTCCACTGTGGTAAACCATACCTGACTTTCAAGAAGCATTGTGTTGGGGTCTATTGATATTCTTAAATTAATTACATTGTCATTTTTCTTTCCCACCTCTACCTTTTCAGGTCTACTGTTTAAAAGATGTACGTTGCTGTTACCTACCAAGGAAAGACTAAAGTACATTCACAAGATACTCACGGAAGTAAGATAGTTCTGAATTAGTTCACATTCTTGATTGCCTGTAAAGACATTTTATTACTAACATCATGTGCTTGTTTTAAATTTTATTTAATTAGTAGATTTTCATGAATTAGCACTAAAGAATTTGTTAATGGTAATCTAATACTTTGCCAAGTACTCAGAGTTTAAAAAACACTTAGGTAGTATAGTATGGTAGTCCCCACCCCCCATCCATACTTTGAGTTACCCACTGTCATCCACAGACCAAAAATATAAAATGAAAATCTCAGAAGTTAACAATTCCTAAGATTTAAATTACATACCAGTCAGAGTAGTGTGGAGAAATCTCTTGCCATTGTATCCCACCCCACCAAGGATGTGAAGCAGCCCTTTGTCCAAGGTGTCCTCTCTGTATGTGCTGCCTGCCCGTTAGTCACTCAGTGGCTAGGTTCTCTGTGTTATCAGATCCATTTTTTGGTGTCACAGTGCTTGTGTTCAAGTAACTCTTATTTTATTTAGTAATGGCCTCAAAGCACAAGAGTAGTGATGCTGACAATTGTATTACCGATATATTATTATAATTGTTCTATTTATTATTATTGCTAATATCTTACATTGCCTAATTGAAAATTAAACTTTAACATCATAGATAGTATGTACAGAAAAAACATAGTACAGTATGAAGTATTTTTAACTCCCATAGGAATCTGAGATTTTAGGGTGATGATGTGGATATTTTATTAAAATGAAATAATTTCTGAATGTTAACATACTACTTAAATATTCCAAAATATAGAAATATATATATATTTAAAGTTTTTTTTATTTGTTATTTGTCAGAGTTGCAGAGAGTGAGCGTGAGAGAGAGATCTTCCATCCACTGGTTCACTACTTAGATGGCTACAATGGCCAGGGCTGGGCTAGGCTGAAGCCAAGAGCCAAGAGCTTCTACTGAGTCTCTCACGTGGTTGGCAGGGACTCGAGCACTTGGGCCATGTTCCACTACTTTGCCAGGCTATTAGCAGGAAGCTAGATTGAAAGTGGAATAGCTGGGACACAAACTGGCACTCGAATGGGTTGCTGGTGTCAACCATATATATATGTTTTCCCCAAAAAACTTTTATTTAAGGAATACAAACTTCATGTATTTCATAAATACAATTTTAGGAATGTAGTGATTCTTCCCACCCACACTCCCACCCCTCTTCCTCCTCCCTCTCCTATTCCCAAGGAATATATTTTTAATATGTAAACTGACAAACCTTTAATGATGACAGACCTGGAAATATATAGCAATGTGATTAGACATAATCTCTAATTAAGATGGAACTTTCTATACAGATTCAAACATATATCCAACTGAGCTGGTTCAGTTGTGCACTCAGTAGTGTGCCAGCTGTTTCTGAAGCACTGACTCTTCTTCATGTTAGGATTTGTGTTGAGCTCTGGACTGTATTCTTACAGCAGCTTCCCAGATGATTTGTCCACCATCCACTTCGTCACTTCCCAAGTCATTCTGATGCTGGATTAAGGTTATTTTTACTAAACAATAACATTCATCAAGATAATTTTATTGCTGAAATTTTTTTCAGTGGCTATTCATTTTCAGCAAATTCCTAGTTGGGTATTTAGGTTTCTCCCAGCAATGCATCCTCAATTCCTACTACTTTGAGCCTAATAAATGGTTATATTTTTCTTACCAAGTACAGATTTTTATTCTACCTCAATACAATTTTGTCTTTACTAATTCTCTCATCAATCCTTTCCATTCATTACATCTGATTCCTACTTTAAGATTTTAAGGTGATTCCTAAATTTGTCTTTTCCTTATTTTCATATTATCTGATATAGGTTTTTTTCACTAATTTAAAAATTTATACACATTCTAATCCAGATTATTATAACTTCATAGGTATATATCTAAACTCCTTGAGGGCAGATACTTCTTATACTTTTTTTGCAATCCCTGTCTATGTGACACAGGGATAATTAGAATTTATGCTGAAAATATTCTTGCTTATTTCTGTTAAATTTGAATGTCAAATCGTTGTGCAGTTCTTCTGAAAAGGGAGAATTTACAGTTGTTCTTTTTACAGATTCCCTGTTTTAAATTCAATGGCTGTGCAGCTCCCATACAATGTTTAGGATTATCGTGCTATGGCATGTTTTTACAGGTACTTTTTATTTTAAAGATTTATTTACTTACTTAAAAGTCAGAGTTACAGAGAGAAAGGAAAGAAGAGAAAGAGAGAGAGAGATCTTTCATTTGCTGACTCACTCCCCAAATAGTTACAACGGTCAAGGCTGAACTAGGCCAAAGCCAGTAGCCTGAAACTCCATCTTGGTCTCTTATGTGGGTGGCAGGGGCCCAAGCACCTGGACCATCTTTTGCTGATTCCCAGGAGCATTAGCAGGGAGCTGGATCAGAAGTAGGGCAGTCGGGACTCAAACCAGCCCCTTTATGGGACATTGGCATGGCAGACAGAGGCTTAATCCACTGTACCACAACACCGGCCTGGACCCGCAGGTACTTTTTTTAATGAAAGAAGAAAAGGAATGTTTTTGAACTATTTAACAATTGTGCATGGAATCTATCTTTCTATAGGTTAATAGAAGTTATAATCATATTTTAAGCTTTATTTATTTATTTGAGAGATGGAGACCAAGAGAGAGAGAAACAGATAGACAGTTCCATTTCCTGGTTCATTCCCCCAAATGCTTGCAGTTGCTGGGTTTGGACCACACCAAAACTGGGAGCTGGGAATTCAATCTAAGTCTCTCATGTAGATGATAGTAAGAACCCTATCACTTGAGCCATTACTGCTGCCTCCCAGGGTATATGCATTAACAGAAAGCTGGAATCAGCTCTCTGCTATGGCCCGGGAGTGCAGTGGAGGATGGCCCAAGTCCTTGGGCCCTGCACCCACATGGGAGACCAGGAGAAGCACCTGGCTCCTGGCTTCGGATCAGCCTTCCTCTCTCTCTCTCACTGTCCACTCTGCCTGTCACACATACACACACACACACACACACACACACAAAAGAAAGAAAAGAAAAGAAAAGAGAAAAGGGCCGGCGCCGTGGCTCAATAGGCTAATCCTCCACCTTGCGGCGCCGGCACACCGGGTTCTAGTCCCGGTTAGGGCGCCGGATTCTGTCCCGGTTGCCCCTCTTCCAGGCCAGCTCTCTGCTATGGCCAGGGAGTGCAGTGGAGGATGGCCCAGGTGCTTGGGCCCTGCACCCCATGGGAGACCAGGAAAAAGCACCTGGATCCTGGCTCCTGCCATCAGATCAGCACGGTGCGCCGGCTGCAGCGGCGGCCATTGGAGGGTGATCCAACGGCAAAGGAAGACCTTTCTCTCTCTGTCTCTCTCTCTCACTGTCCACTCTGCCTGTGGTAGAAAAAAAAGAAAAGAAAAGAAAAGAGAAAAGCTGGAATCAGAGCAGAACCAGGACTGGAACCCATGCACTCTGATATGGGATGTGGGTATCTTAACCACTAGGCTGAATACTCACTCCTATAATAATCTTAGAGCAAAATAAAATTGTACAGATTTGAGACTATAATACTCTAATCATATTATGACATCTCAGATTTTTCCCTTGTGAGAAATGATTAACATTTATTTACTTTATACCAATGTTCTCAAAGTTTCCAGGCAATTCTAAAGACTAGAAATGTTACAGGGTAGTATGTGTATGTGTGTATTACATACCTGTATATAATGAGTTTGAAGTCTTGAGCTAATTATTTAAGGTAAATTTTAGACATCAACATTATTATTTCAGTAACATTTTGATTAATCTTTTATTATAAACATAAAAATAAGAATTGCCAGCATTTGTTGAGTCTTTGCTATGTATTGCACTATCATAAGCATTTCATATGTGTTACTAATTTAAAATTTATAACAGACTTAAATGGATACTTCTCACCTTCTAGATAGTGGGTTATTATTGTCTAGTATTAAACTCTTTGTAATCCTGAGAAAACAAAACTTACAACCTTGTGAGGTAGGCATATGGGAGAATCTTTTCTTTTTTTAAATTATTTATTTATTTGAAAGAGTTACAGAGAGGCAGAGGCAGAGAGAGAGAGAGACGCGGAGGGGGAGAGAAAGAGAGAAGTCTTTCATCTGCTGGTTCACTCCCCAAGTGGCCTCAATGGCCAGAGCTGAGCCAATCTGAAGCCAGGAGCCAGGAGTTTCTTCTGGATCTCCCATGCGGGTGCAGGGGCCCAAAGACTTGGGCCATCTTTCACTGCTTTCTCAGACCATAGCAGAGAGTTAGATTGGAAGTGGAGCTGCCGGAACTCAAACTGGTGCCCATATGGGATGCTGGCACTGCAGGTGGCAGCTTTACCCACTACGCCACAGTGCAAGCCCCCTGGGAAAATCTTGCTCTGTAACCTGATCTGCCAGCCACAAACTCCCATGTAATTGGATTCCAGCAGCCTAGGGCTTCCAGAGCCTTCTTTCAAGACAATTTTTGCCTTTTCTCAAATTTTTTATGTATGTGTGAGGGGTGGTTTCTCTCTTTCTTTGGGACAGTAATACACATAAATGCATTTATGTAACCTTTAAAAGGTATGAAATGTCTGAAGTGAAGTCCATCTCCCTCCCAGGCCTATCCCTTGTCTACTATTTCCCTTTGCCAGAAGCAACCACTGTTAAGTTTTTCATGTCCCTCCAGAGAGATTAAGATGAATTTTTAAACTACTGTAATCCACTTAACTATTTTCTTTTTTTGTTTGTTTTAAAATATTTATTTATTTAAAAGGAAGAATTATAGAGAGGGAGAGAGACAGAGAGAGATCTTCCACCCACTGACTCACTCCTCAAATGGTCAGGACAGCTGTGGCTGGACCAGGCCAAAGCCAAGGGCCCCAGCCATCCATGTGGGTGGCAGGGGCCCAAGTTCTTGGGCCATCTTCTGCTGCTTTCCACATTAGCAGGGAGCTAGATTGAAAGTGGAGCAGCAATGCCTTGAACTGGCACCCATATGGGATGCCAGCAACACAGTTAGCGCTTAACCCCATGCACCACAACACTGGCCCCAACTTACCTATTTTCAAAAGAATTTATGTGTTAATCAGCATTTCAGAATCTAATTATAGTAACATACCATTTGAACCTCCTTTTCATATATGTTTGTGCATTTTAATATGTTCAAAAATAATTACTAAATTTTGTCCTAATTAAAGTTTTTGAAGTTGCTTTAAATAAATGCTCAGAATTGTTATACGTACATGTCTGGGTACAGCAGGCTAAGCCACCGCCTGCGATACTGGCACCCCATTTGGGTACTGTTTCAAGTGAGGCTGCTCCACTTCTGATCCAGTTCCCTGCTAATGCGCCTGGGAAAGCAGGGGATGATGGCCCAAGTCCTTGGGTCCCTTCACCCACATGGGAAACCCAGATGGAGTTCTGGGCTCCTAGCTTTGACCTGGTCCAGCCCTCTCCATTACAGCCATTTGAGGAGTGAACCAGTGGGTGGAAGAGCTCTCTTTCTCTGCGTCTCACTCTCTAACTCTGCCTTTCAAGACAAAACAATTAAAAAAAAATTGTCACATTAACATGAGATCATTCTCATTTCTAAGCAGTATCATAAATGACAGCTAGAGGGGGCAAAAAGGGTTTCCTTGTGGTCTTAAAATGAAACCACAGTGTAGTTGTGAGAAGTCGAAAGCTGTATTGTAGGGTTTGGCTTTACTTTGTCATTTTCCTCATATTGTCAAAGTTCAAGATTCAGTATCAATATAAAGTTCTCGGAAAGAAAATTTCCTTCTCACTGAAAAGAAACTGGATTTTAGAATATTTCAAGGTTATGGCTATGTAAATTTCTTATTAAATAGTTCCATAGTGGATAAAAATTGCATGTCATCTTGATCATGTTCTAATAACAGTATACACATAAGACAGTGGTGACTTATACATCGCTCTGATGACCTGAACATCTTCAGTGTTGATTTTGTTTTCCTCAGACCTTGACAGCAGGTTGGGATGACCTTGAATGCCATCGTGTGTATAACTTCTTGTGTGAGCTGACTAATCTGTCTCGTAAGATGCAGGCTGTTGTTTGCAACAAACCAGGTAAAGAACTACAATGCTCAAATAATAGTATATGGCCGGCGCCACGGCTCACTAGGCTAATCCTCTGCCTTGCGGCGCCGGCACACAGGGTTCTAGTCCCCGTCAGGGCTCCGGATTCTGTCCCGGTTGCCCCTCTTCCAGGCCGGCTCTCTGCTGTGGCCAGGGAGTACAGTGGAGGATGGCCCAAGTCCTTGGGCCCTGCACCCCATGGGAGACCAGGAGAAGTACCTGGTTCCTGCCATCGGATCAGCGCGGTGCGCCGGCCGCAGCGCGCCGGCCGCGGCGGCCATTGGAGGGTGAACCAACGGCAAAGGAAGACCTTTCTCTCTGTCTCTCTCTCTCACTGTCCACTCTGCCTGTCAAAAAAATAATAATAACAGTATACAACATATAGATTCGTTATAATAATTCTAACATGCTATGTGACTGTTCAAAAACATATTCCTGTATTTTTGCTATATAAACTGACAAACCTGTAATGATGATAGACTTGAAAATACGTATCAATGTGTTTAGGCATAATCTCTAAATAAGATAGAGTTTTCCTATACAAATCCAAAGATACATCTAACTCTAATGGCTCATTTCTGTGCTCGCTCGCTCGCTCGCTCTCTCTCTCTTTCCCTCCAGTCCTCCCTCCACAGAAGCCATATTCAGTGTCATGATTACTTCTGTGAAGGAGTGGGAAAAAGGATTAGAAGGAATGTAAAAGAATCTTTAGCATTTGTAATGTTTTATGTAATTTTTAAAATCTGATGCAGAGGCTGGAATTTGGTCTAGTAGTTAAGGTGCCAACTGGGACACCCACATCCCATATCAGAGTACCTGGATTCCATCCCCGACTCTGGCTCCCAATTCAGTTCCAGTTTCCTTCTAATGCAGACCCTAGGAGGCACATTTATGGCTCAAGTAATTGATTCCTGCCACCCATGTGGGAGACCCAGACTGAGTTCCCAACTTCTGCTTGGCCCAACCTTTGCAGTTGCAGATATTTGGGGAGTGAACCAGAGGATGGGAACTCTCTGTCTGTGTGTCTTTACTCTCTGCCTTTCAATTAAAAAAAAAAAAAGAAGCAGATTTAGAAGCCCAATGAAATAATAACAGTATTAATTGATCATGTTCCTCCCTTGATCAAAAACTTTTATTAGCTCCTGATATCTTCAAAATAAAGTCAAAATTATTTATATCAGCCTTCACAATCTGATCCCAGTGTGCTCTTTCAAGCTAATTGCCCAGTACTCTTTTTTTTTTTTTTTTTTTTTTTTTTTTTTTTTTTTTTTTTTGACAGGCAGAGTTAGACAGTGAGAGAGAGAGACAGAGAGAAAGGTCTTCCTTTTCAGTTGGTCACCCCCCAAATGGCTGCTACAGCTGGTGCACGCGGGTGCAGGGCCCAAGCACTTGGGCCATCCTCCACTGCCTTCCCGGGCCACAGCAGAGAGCTGGACTGGAAGTGGAGCAACCGGGACAGAATCCGGCACCCCAACCAGGACTAGAACCCGGAGTGCCAGCGCCGCAGGCAGAGGATTAGCCTAGTGAGCCGTGGCGCGGGCCCGCCCAGTACTCTTTACATCAGTTTACGTAAGCATATTGCTCTTGGACACCTCTTACACATTTCCACCCCAGGGCTGCTTGGTCCATTCTGTCTCATTGTCCTGAGGCACCTTCTGCCCTTCCCATCCTTTAGACTGCTCTGTACCTGGCCCTGTAGAGCCTTTCCTGATCTCCTCAGATGGCCATCATCTCTCTCTAAATGTCTGTATTACTTGACCTGACAAAGCAGAGGGGATAGTCTCAGATCATTAGTAGGCATCCTATTTATACTCCTCTCACCTACAAGTAAGTAGAACATAAATGGGATAAAATGCAAAATGATGCCGCTATGGAAAATAGTTTGGCTAATCATCAAAATGCTAAATGCAGAATTACCATGTGGCCCAGCAGTTCCACTCCTAAGTATATACTTAATGGAACAGAGAGCAGAACTTAGTCAGATACTTTTACACTAAAGTTCATTGCATCATTATTCACAATAGCCAAGGTGGAAACAACCTGAGTGTCTATCAACAGATGAATAAATAAACACAATGTGATATATACTACAATATTGATGAAGCTTGAAAATGTCATGCCAACTGAAAGAAGGCAAGAACAAAAGGACAAGTATTATAGGATTCTACTTACCTGAATAGGCAAATTCATAGTGATAGAAAGTAGATTATGGCCGGCGCCACGGCTCACTAAGCTAATCCTCCGCCTGCGGACCTGGCACCCCGGGTTCTAGTCCGGTTGGGGCGCCGGATTCTGTCCCAGTTGCTCCTTTTCCAGTCCAGCTCTCTGCTGTGGCCCAGGAAGGCAGTGGAGGATGGCCCAAGTGGTTAGGCCCTGAACCCGCATGGGAGACCAGAAGGAAGCACTTGGCTCCTGGCTTCCGATCAGTACAGTGCGCCGGCCCTAGCGGCCATTTGGGGGGTGAACCAACGGAAGGAAGACCTTTCTCTCTGTCTCTCTTTCTTACTGTCTAACAATGCCTGTCAAAAAAAAAAAAATTAAAAAAAAAAAAGTTTGGTAACAAATGTTGGCCATATGGAGATTAGAACCCTACTACAATGCAGGTAAGAACAGTAAAATGATGTGGCCATATTAGAAAATAATATGACAAATTTGTTAAATGATTAAACAACGTCACCATCTTTTAAAATTTTATTTATTTATTTATTTGAAAGTCAGAGTTACAGAGAAGAAAAGGCAAAGAGAGAGAGAGAGAGATCTTCCATCCACTGCTTCTCTCTAGATGTCTGCAATGGCCGGAGCTGGGCCAGTCTGAAGCCAGGAGCCAGGAGCTGCTTCTGGGTCCCCTACATGGGTGCAGGGGTCCAAGCACTTGGGCCATCTTCTTCTTCTTCTTTTTTTTTTAAGATTTATTTTATTTATTAGAAAGACAGAGTTATAGAGAAAGGTAGAGCCTAAGAGAGAGAGAGAGGTCTTCCATCCACTGGATCACTCTCCAAATGATCGCAACAGCCAGAGCTGATCTGATCAGAAGGCAGGAGTCAGGAGCTTCTTCTGGATCTCCCACATGGGTACATGGGCCCAAGGACCTGGGCCATCTTGCACTGCTTCCCCAGGCCATAGCAGAGAGCTGGATCAGAAGTAGAGCAGCTAGGACTTGAACCAGCACCAATGTGGAATGCTAGCGCTTCAGGCCGGGGCTTGAAGCCATTCCTTAACAAAAAAAATAACATGTTAATAACAGCATTATTCATAACAGCCAAAAGGCAGCAAAAAATCCAAATGTTCTTCAATGGTGAATGAATAATCAAACTATGGTATATCCATATAATGAAATATTATTTGGTCATAAAATAATATATGTTACGAATGGATGAACATTGAAAACGCTTTGCGGGGGCTAGCGCGCTGGTGCAGCAGGTTAACAACCTGGCCTGAAGTACCGGCATCCCATATGGGCACCAGTTCAAGGCCTGCCTGCTCCACTTCCGATCCTCCACTTCTGATGCTATGGCCTGGGAAAGCAGTAGAAGATGGCCCAAGTGCTTGGGCCCCTATACCCACATGGGAGACCCAGAAGAAGCTCCTGGCTCCTGGCTTTGAATCAGCCCAGCTCCAGCCATTGCGGCCAATTGGGGAGTGAACCATCAGATAGAAGACCTCTCTCTCTCTGCCTCTCCTCTCTCTGCGTAACTCTGACTTTCAAATAAATAAATAAATCTTAAAAAAAGAAAAGAAAAGAAAATGCTTTGCTTTGCTAAGTGCAATAAGACAGTCACAAGAGACCACATACTATATGATTTCATTTATATGAAAATCCAGAATTGTGAAAACTATAGATACACAGAGCAGATCATTGGTTATTTAGTGCTGGGGTGATAAAGACACAGAGGTAGGGTGGTGATATTTAAAAGAACAGGAATTCTTTCTGAAGTGATGAAATTGTTCTAAAATTGATCATGGCTACACATATCTGTGAATGTACAAAAAGCATTGAATTCTGTATTCTACATGAGTAAATCATATGGCAGGCAACTAGTTAAATCTGAGCGAGCTGGCATCCTTGCAAGTCCCACAGTAAAATGTTATCTCCTTACCTGTCAGTCAAAGACACCCACCTTACAAAGATAGCACCTCTGTTTCCTCTGGGGACAAGAAGGAGAAAGCCATGATCATCATAAACTCCATGTAGAGGTGCCATAAAATTCCCAGATGACTTCACACACATTAGGGCTTCAGCCCCTACCTCATAGAAAAGGCTGAGGGGGACCGGCACCGTGGCGCAATAGGTTAATCCTTCTGCGGCGCTGGCTTCCCATATGGACGCCGGTTCTGGTCCTGAATGCCTCTCTTCCGATCCAGCTCTCTGCTATGGCCTGGGAAGGCAGTGGAGGGTGGCCCAAGTGCTTGGGCCCCTGCACCCACATGGGAGACCCAGAAGAAGCTCCTGGCTTCAGATCAGCGCAGCTCCCACTGTTGCAGCCATCTGGAGAGTGAACCAACGGAGGACCTTTCTCTCCCTCTCATTGTCTGTAACTCTACCTCTCCAATAAATAAATAAAATTTTTTTTTAAAAGAAAAGGCTGAGAATGGGGGACAGCTGTCTTTGCTGCAGACCATGGTGGGGGGTACTATTCAATGTTTCTCTACCTTTGGGCAACTCTCTGGCCCACTTTTGATAAGTATTTCTCCGTGTGGGGTAGCCCACATTCACATATGAATGTATGTGTTCTCTCTCACTGTTAAATAAATCCTGTCCCCAAGTTGCCTCTTATGATTCTTATCTATATGAGACAAGAACCTAGATTCGAAATTATTGTGCTCAAGCCCACATCAGTATGTGAATTAGATCTCAGTAAAGCTATTTTTTTAAGATTTATTTTATTCATTCGAAAGGCAGAGATACAGAGAGAGGAGGGGAGAGAGAGAGAGTGAGCATGAGAGCGAGAGCTCCCCCATCCATTGGTTCACTCCCAAATGGCCACAAAGACCAGGGCTGGGCCAGGCCAAAGCCAGAAGCCAGGAGCTTCCTCTGGGTCTCCAACATGGATTTAGGGTCCCAAAGACATGGACCATCCTCCACTGCTTTTCCAAGTGAATTAGCAGGGAGCTGGTTTGGAAGTGGAGTAGCCACAAGTTGAGCCAGCCCCCAAATGGGGTGCCAACATTTATAGGTGGAGACTTAACTCTCTGATACCACAGCGCTGACCCCTCCATAAAGCTATTTAAAAATATAGCCCCTTTGGGGGCCAGCACTGTGGCCCAGTGGGTAAACTTGCTGCCTGTAGTGCTGGCAACCCATATTTTTTTTTAAGATTTATTTATTTATTTCAAAGTCAGCATTACACAAAGAGAGAAGGAGAGGCAGACAGAGAAGGAGAGGTCTTCCATCCTCTGGTTCACTGCAAATAAATAAATAAATCTTTAAAAATATATCTAGTCCTTTGATCTAAGATTTTTGTGGATGTAAAGGAAGTAATACTTTCAGTAAAAAATGTGCTACTGGTAAATATCTTTAGTCTTTCCCTTCATTTATTTCTTTTTAAATCCAAAATTGTGTAAGATTCTGATAAACTTAAGCATGTCTCTTTTTTAAGATTTTATTTATTTATTTATTTATTTGAGAGGTAGAGTTACAGATGGGCAGAGCAAGAGACAAAGAGAAAGGTCTTCCATCCACTGGTTCACTCCCCAAATGGCCGCAATAGCTGGAGGTGGGACCATCTGAAGCCAGGAGCCAGGCGCTTCTTCCAGGTCTCCCACGCGGGCACACGGGCCCAAATACTTGCACCGTCTTCCACTGCTTTCCCAAGCCATAACAGAGAGCTGGATGGGAAGAGGAGCAGCTGGGACTAGAATAGGCACCTTTTTGGGATACTGGCACCACAGGTGGAGACCCAGCCAGCTACATCACAGCAAAAGCCCCTTAAACATATCTTCAAAGTTTTGAATATTTATCAGGGAGGTAAAGGTAAGTAGATAGTCAAACTATGAAGTTAGGGCAGTTTAAGAACAGATAAACCCTTGTATACTTTTTGTTTAGAAACCCAGTTTAGAATCACTATTTAACCACAGAGTTTGATGTGTTGCTCTGATCACTCTCCAATGAACACATTGACTCTAGTAAGGATGGTTTACAATTCTTGTCTTCACAGGAAGTTCCCGAAAACTGGAGTTAAGGATCCGACTGTTCTGTAGGAACGTTCTGCTTGATCACTGGTCACAGCGAAGTGATTCGGCTTTTTGGTTGACACGAATATTAAAACCATGGCCAATGGTGAATCAGGCAAGATTGCTGTATATCATCTTTGGGCCAATATCTCCTCAAGATGGTGAGCACCCATTTTTCAGGAATGTGTGTTATATAGCTGCTTAATTAGTTTTACTTTAGGAAGTGTATAATTTTGTATCTGCTCAGTTTTGTCATTCCTAATGACTGAACTGCATTTCATGATTTCATAGATGTATACTACATTAATTTGAGCACAAAGCTACAAGATAGATATTGTTTTTCCATAGATCATTGCTAAGTATTTATTTATTTATTTGAAAGAGTTGGCTGGCGCCACGGCTCACTAGGCTAATCCTCCGCCTGTGGCACCTGCACCCCGGGTTCTAGTCCCGGTTGGGGTGCCAGTTCTGTCCTGGTTGCTCCTCTTCCAGTCCAGCTCTCTTCTGTGGCCCAGGAGTACACTGGAGGATGGCCCAGGTCTTTGGGCCCTGTACCCGCATGGGAGACCAGGAGGAAGCACCTGGCTCCTGGCTTCAGATTGGCGCAGCGGGCTGACCGTAGTAGCCACTTGGGGGGTGAACCAATGGAAAAAGGAAGATCTGTCTCTCTGTCTCTCTCACTGTCTAACCCTGCCTGTCAAAAAAAAAAAAAAAAAAAGTTACAGAGAGAGGGAGAGAGAGAGAGAGAGAGAGATAACAACCTAACAACCAGGGCTATGCCAGGCTGAAGCCAGGAGCCAGGAGCTTCTTTCAGGTCTCCCACATGGGTGCAGGGACCCAAACACCTGGGCCATCTTTTGCTGCTTTTCTCAGACCATAATCACGGAGCTGGATGGGAAGTAGAGTAGGCGGGACTTAAACCAGTGTCGTACAGGATGCTGGTGTTGCAGACTGTGGCTGAACCTGCAGAGCCAAAATATGGGCTCCAATTTTTTTAATTTTAAAGTATTTTTTTTTTCAGGGAACAGTGCTGTGGTGTAGCAGGTAAAGCCACTGCCAGCAGTGCTGGCATCCCATATGGCACCAGTTCCAATCCTAGCTGCACCACTTCCAATCCAGCTCTCTGCTCTGGCCTGGGAAAGCAGTAGAAGATGGCGCAAGTCCTTGGGCTCCTGCACCCATGTGGGGATTAGAAGAAGCTCCAGGCTCCTGGTTTCAGATTGGCCAAGCTCTGGCCATTGCAGTCATTTTGGTAATGAACCAGTGGATGGAAGACCTCTCTCTGTTACTCTGCCTCTCTGTAACTCTACTTTTCAAATAAATCATTTTTTTTTTTTTGTTTTTTTTTTTTCCTGTTGTGGGCTGGAAGAGTGGACAGTGAGAGAGAGAGACAGAGAGAGAAAGGTCTTCCTTTGCCGTTGGTTCACCCTCCAATGGCTGCCGCTGCAGCCGGCGCACCGCGCTGATCCGATGGCAGGAGCCAGGAGCCAGGTGCTTTTCCTGGTCTCCCATGGGGTGCAGGGCCCAAGCACCTGGGCCATCCTCCACTGCACTCCCTGGCCATAGCAGAGAGCTGGCCTGGAAGAGGGGCAACCGGGACAGAATCCGGCGCCCCAACCGGGACTAGAACCCGGTGTGCCGGCGCCGCAAGGTGGAGGATTAGCCTATTGAGCCACGGCGCCGGCTCAAATAAATCTTTAAAAAAATTTTATTTTCATTATATTTGAAAGGCAGAGAGAGAAAGAGAGACAGCAAGCTTCTATCTACTGGTTCACTCCCTGCATGCATGCAACAGCTAGAGTTAGGCCAGGCCAAAGCCAGGAGCTTGAATCTCCATTTGGATTTCCTGTGTGGGTATCAGGGACCCAAGTACTTCAGTTAATATTTTCTGCTTCTCACAGTACACATTAGCAGGAAGCTGGATTGGAAGCAGAGGGTGCAGGACTTGAACATGGGATGTGGGCATCCCAAGCAGTGACTTAAGCCACTGTGCCAAATGCCTATACCACTAAATATGTTCTAAATAATCTCTAGTTTACCCAAAATAGCTGCTTTTCTTTTTTAAGATTTTTTTTATTTGAAAGAGTTACAAAGAGAGAGAGGTCTTCCATTTGCTAGTTCACTCTCCAAATGACCACAGTGGCCAGGGCTGGGCCAGGCTGAAGCCAGGAGCTTCATCCAGGTTGGAAGTGGAGCAGCTGGGATTTGAACTGGTGCTCATATAGGATACCAAGGTCACAGACAATAGCTTAACCTGCTGTGCCACAATGTTGGCATTTTTTTAAAAAAGATTCATTTATTTATTTGAGAGACAGAGGCAGAGAGAAAGAGAGAGATCTTGCATCTGCTGGTTCATTCCCCAAATGACCGCAACGGCTGGAGCTGAGCTGATCCAAAGCCAGGAACCTGGAGCTTCTTCCAGGTCTCCCACATGGATGCAGGGACCCAAGGACTTGGGCCATCTTCTGCTGCTTTCCCAGGCACATTAACAGGGAGCAGGATAGGAAATGGAGCATCCAGGACTAGAACCGACACCCATATGGGATACCACCCCTGAAGGCTGGGACTTTAACCTGCTGCACCACAGCGCTAGCCCCTGCTTTTCAGTTTTTAAACATTATTTTAACTTACGGTTGTGTTTCCTGCTGGAGGGGACTAATAGTGATAGTGAAGCAAGATCATAGTCAGAATTTGTGCTTTACTTAATTTTGGATGCATAGTAGGATTTTTGGCAAGTTTGTTTTACTTCTCTATAAGTCTTGATTGATTAATATTAAAATTATCATGCATTGCTTTAATTCACATTGGCTTACTTCAGGAAGTAACAAGTTAAGGGATACTGAGTCACAGCAGGAAGCCAATCTGGGATTAGAATTTTGTTGTGTGTAACCCACAAAGAAAATCGATCATAGACAAAGAATCATAATTGATTGACTCTCTCTGCTTGGAAATTGACTAAATTACTGTTTTGATTCTTGAATATAACATACTCTCATTTTGAAAAGATAATAGATTTTATTTATTTTATTTTAGTAAGATTACATCAATTGCTTGTTCCAATTTCTATTATGGGACAGCATCATCTCTAAACCGGAAGCACTGTTCTGCATGGTGAAAGTACCCTTATTTCATTGGCTGTTATTGTGCTTCATCACATCTGTATGAAACATTCAAATTTATACTGTTTTCAGAATTGACACTTCATTATGAAAAGTCAATAGTCTATATATGTAATGGCATTCCAGTGTGTAATTCACTTTCCTCTTTAAATAATCCATGAAGTCTTTAATACAAGTCAACTATTCTGTCATAGCCTAGTTTTTGTTTCAATTCAGGACAGGTGTTTTGGCAGAAAATGATAGAAGGACCTACAGATGAGTCCAGTCTTAAAGGTCTGGCAGAGGCTATTAAATTACTGTATGACACAGGTACCAAAGAGTGGACAGCAGATGATGTTATCAGTCTTGTAGATGAACTATCAGGTAACAATAATGTAACTAATGTAGAGTAATATAATTATGAGAATACAGTTATAGAATTATAATTATACTTCTATGTGTGCAAATGAAATACCTATTATAAAAACACTAATTGCCCTAAAATATTTTAAAAGTTTGGTATTATGTTTGCAGAAAATACATATAATTAGCTTTATATCAATTGTCAATTTTATAAGTATATATTATTATTATTATTGTCATATTTTAACTAGGTTCATTACTCTCATTTTGCAAGTTTCAGAAGCACCCTCCTAGGTTATGTAAGAAGAAAATCCTCTCTGCTGGTGCAGGAGAGGTGAAACAGTTTTTTCCATTCCTGCATAATCCTTTAGATTCTGAGGTTTCCCAAGTTTCTTCCTTACCACAAGCTTAGACCAGCTTGCCCACCGATGAAGTGTGTGCAGACCAGCTTCCACTTGATTACTAAGGCATTCGTAAGAGCCATCACAACATGGCCATAATCTCTGTCTTTAGCTGAATGCTGTAATTGAAAAACTGAAACGTTTTCCCCAAGCATTCCCCTTGGCACTAATTGTATTTCTGATAAAGCGCTATAATGTTGCATGTATTAATGATGTTTGCTATGGCCATAGTGTGATTTCTCATAAAATAACTGTTGTCCCTCTAATAAAAGTGGTTCCCCGTGAGTGGCTTCTAGAGAATAATGCACGACTTCTAATCCTGAGTGGGAACAGCATCTGCTTCACTTTCATGGCTAGTAAAGCTGTCAATGGACGGGCCACTGAACTGGCGAGACTTGTAGTCTTTTTGGCTTTGGTAAGTGAAAAATTATTTTTTCTCTAACAAGATGTTTAACATTATAGTTGACCTGCCAGGGATTGCCCTGAAGAAATTTAAGTGTGTATTTTTAAAATTTCTTTTTAAAAATACTAGAATATATATAACAAGCCATGTCATTTTGAAGCATTCTTTATATTAACCTGTTCCTTATATAGCTCAAAAGCACCCCCAGGGCCCAGACATTTGGCCTAGAGGCTAAGAGGCCAGTTTGAGACGCTCACATTCCATGTTGAACTGCCTGGGATTGAGGCCCAGCTCTGTTCCTGAGTCCAGCTTCCTGCTAATGTGCACCCTGGGAGACATCAGGTGATGGCTCAAGTGCTTGGTCCCTGACACCCACAAGGGAGACCTGGATTGCATTCCTGGCTCCTGGCTTCCAGCTCTGGCCCAGCTCTGGACATTGTGAACATATGAGGTGCAAGCCAAGGGATGGGTGTTCTGTCTGTCTGTCTGTCCTTCTTTCTCTGTGTCTCTGCCTCTCAAATTTTAAAAAACTTTTTGATTTCCTTCAAAATAATCAGTGTGGATGGAGAGGTAGGGAAAGGATGTAGAAGTGAATATAGGGGTCGGCACCGCGGCTCAATAGGCTAATCCTCCGCCTTGCGGCGCCGGCACACCGGGTTCTAGTCCGGTCGGGGCTCCGGATTCTGTCCCGGTTGCCCCTCTTCCAGGCCAGCTCTCTGCTGTGGCCAGGGTGTGCAGTGGAGGATGGCCCAAGTGCTTGGGCCCTGCACCCCATGGGAGACCAGGAGAAGCACCTGGCTCCTGCCTTCAGATCAGCGCGGTGCGCTGGCCGCAGCGGCCATTGGAGGGTGAACCAACGGCAAAGGAAGACCTTTCTCTCTGTCTCTCACTGTCCACTCAGCCTGTCAAAAAAAAAAAAAAAAAAAAGGCTAATCCTCCACCTGCAGCGCCGGCACACCGGATGCTAGTCCTGGTCGGGGCGCTGGATTCTGTCCTGGTTGCCCCTCTTCCAGGCCAGCTCTCTGCTGTGGCCCGGGAGTGCAGTGGAGGATGGCCCAGTGCTTGGGCCCTGCACCTGCATGGGAGACCAGGATAAGCACCTGACTCCTGGCTTCAGATCAGCACGATGCGCCGGCCGCGGCGGCCATTGGAGAGTGAACCAATGGCAAAAGGAAGACCTTTCTCTCTCTCTCTCTCTCACTGTCCACTCCACCTGTCAAAAAATAAAAACAAATATTTTTAAAGATATATTTATTTATACTTGAAAGGCAGAGTGACAGAGATATGGAGAGACAGCAAGAGAGAGATCTTCCAACTGCTGGTTCACTCTCCCAAGTGCCTGCAACAGCCAGGGCTGGATCAGGCCAAAGCTAGGAGCCAGGAATTACATCTGGGTCTCCCATGTGGGTGGCAAGAACCCAGGTACTTGGGCCATTATTTGCTGCTTTCCCACGTGTATTACCGGGAACCTGGATCAGAAGCAGAGTGACCAGGACTTGAAACAACACCCTGATAAGGGATGCAGATGCCCTAGATGGTGACTTAGCCTCCTGTACCACAACTCTTACCCCTGCTTACATCTTTTAAGAAATATCAAGGTATAAATAAATACCTTCAAGAACAACTGCAAATATGTTAGCAAATATGTATGTATGTATGTGTTTATTTCCCTATATATATGTGTGTGTGTGTTTATGTGTGTGTGTATGTTTGTGTATCAGAGGAAAGTAGAGGACAATGGGCTTCTCTGATCCCAGTAGATGATGGCCTTTAAAAAAAAGATTTACTTATTTATTTGAAAGGCAGAGTTACAGAGAGGCAGAGGCAGAGAACGAGAGAGAGGTCTTCTCAGAGGCTGGAGCTGGGCCAATCCAAAGCCAGGTACCAGAAGCCAGGAGCTTCTTCCAGGTATCCCACCTGGGTGCAGGGTCCCAAGGATTTGGGCCATCTTGTACTGCTTTCCCAGGCCATAGCAGAGAGCTGGATTGGAAGTGGAGGAGCTAGGACTAGAACCAGCGCCCATATGGGATGCTGGCACTGCAGGTGGTGGCTTTACCTACTACGTCAGAGTGCCTGCCCCAATGATGGCTTTTTAAAAAGGAATTCACAAGGGGCAGATGGAGAGTGGCAACAGATTCTTCAAGGCTTCTGAGAAGTGGAGCCACATAACTATAATCAGGGCCATTAAAGCAGTTCAGTATTATTTCTGAAGGGTAAAAATGTGCAGAAGAACAGCAGGAGGTGAGGCTAGATAGGAAGGGAGAGACTAGTTAAGGAAGAGCTCTGTAGGCCACTCTGTGGAGCTGGAACCCAACCTCTAACAGGGAGATACCGAAAAGTTTTAAAGAAGGCAGAGATGTGATGTTTTTGGCAGGTCACCTTGGTAGCACTGTAGCAAACAGAGGACACTAGGGGTAGGGAAGCTTTCTCTGGAAGCCTTTAATAATTCTGATGGTCATGTTCTCTAAATTGCCTCTGATTTGTCTTCTCTTTGTCTTCATATACTATTAGTGCTCTTAAGCCATTGTGTATCGGCTAAGTCATTTCCCAAAATAGATTGCAAATAGATTGATATCCAGGGCTGTCACTTACTTCTTTCATAGAGCCAGATACAGTGCTTTACACAGAACGAATGGGAAATCTTCCTGCAAGATTAGCAGTATTCAGTTAGATCGTTATGTAGTCTGTTTTCATGCTATACGTGATCTATTTGGCTATGTGTGTTACATCAGCCATTTAGAACATTAATATATAAACCTTTTTCGTTGCAGTCAGTTTTGGCTGGGAACATGTAGTCTTTACTTTAAATATTTATATTTTAAAGATTTATTTATTTGAAGGTCAGAGTTACAGAGACAGAGAGAGAGGGAGAGAGAGAGATCGATCTTCCATCTGCTAGTTCACTTCCCAGATGGTCGCAATGGCCCAGGCTGGGCCATGCCTAAGGCAGGAGCCAAGAACTTCTTCCAGGTCTCTTTGTGGGAAACACGGGCCCAAGTCCTTGGGCCATCTTCTGCTGCTTTTCCCAGGCCATTGGCAGCTAGATGGATCAGAAGTGGAGCAGCCAGGACACAAACTGACACCTATATTGGATGCCAGCATTGCAGGCAGTGGCTTTACCTGCGATGCCACAACACTGACCCCTGAATATTTGTATTTAAATAATGGAGAAACAAATATTACTAAAACTCCTAAGGTGGGAATTTGATAATTTCATGGAGTTCTTCTGCCTATTGAAATAACCTATTTGTCCATAATCCTCATTAGACTCCTTGAAAATAGAGTGGTATCTTTATGGCTTATCATTGTACCTCTAACTCTTAACAGGTACAGTGAATGTTTATGTGTTGAATGAACAAAAGTCTTATTTCTCATATAATCAATAACTTTTGAATATATGTTTGCACTAATAATATTCTGTAATAATCTTAGAGCAAGTCTTCATTTTTTTTACTAAAATTGTACCATTTAAAAGCAAGATTATTAGAAGAACATTTTCCATTTATAGACTCAGTATATGGTATAATGTGTAATAAATTATGCAGAATCAAAAGCCATAATTGTCAATACAGTTTTCAATTTCTACAGCTTTCTTCACAAGATTGACAATAATGCTTTGTATACTTAAATCAGGTGTGTGAGAAAGAACTATACTGCATGGATTGGGCAGTGAAAATGATGCAAAAAGTCTGTAAAGTCTTTAACACTCCAATAGAAAGAAATAACTTCCTGCAGAGTGTGGCCAATGCGTTTGCATGTGTTATAATGGAAATGCTACAATCAATTATGTCTGGTGAGTAGAAATGTAGGAAGTGCACAGGTGTGGGCCAAACACATTCAAGTCCCCACTCTGTCTTCAAGAGCTATTTCTGCGTCGACTTTTGTCTCTAAACTAACAATAGAAGGAGCAGATATTTTTAGCTTGTTGGTTTTTCTATTAGATATATTTAGTTCCTTGTTGGTTTAGCTAGACAAAAAAAAAAAATAATAATAACCTTGTTTTGTGGCTAAGAAGACTAAGGCTTAGAAAAATGACCTGACCTGCCCATGGTCAGAAAGCTGAAGCAGCAGAGCACGGTCCAGCATCCTTTCCTTCTGGTGTCTGATCCAGTGTTCTTATATGATTCCATGATTTCAGCAGTTAGTGTCTGTCTCAGGAGAGGTCACTAACAGAAAGTCTTCTGTTTTAAATTTTGTTGGGGGCAACTGGAGCATCTTGTTTCCAATTGCATATTTAAATGTTTAACTGTCATTTTCTTTTCCCTACTGTCGCTTCCTGTGTATGGCATATAGGAGACCGTGATGAAGACGACAGAAGCTTTTTGAATTTGTTCCATCTTGTGCATGCTCAGGCTAACTTCCATAAGGAGGTCCTGTATTTGACCATGGGTTCTGTGTCTTCCTAAATACTCGGACAGCTTTTCCTTTAGAGGGCATCTCACTGAACAATTAGAAGATGGCTACTTTTTCACATCTGAAGAACAGCAGCCATGGGACTTATCCTCGTCTAAATAACCTAAGAAAATAGCATAGAATTTTAGAAGCAACTACTTATTCCTATTGTATTATAAAAAATAATAAACAAACCAAGAATGTAGTGAGATTTCTCTAAACAAGCGCGGCCTCTGTAGGTTTCAGCAAACCCAACACCAAACCAAAATGGAATTTTAACTGTCCCAGATTCTGGATCCAGCCCAAGCTGTGTGTCTTGGAAGGTAATGGAAGCAAGAGAAAATTCTGTTTTGTAGTTAGAGCAGATCCAATTCACTAAATAGCATGTTTCTGTTCATTTTGCTTAGGTTGTATAGACTTTGCCCAGAATATTTTGTAAAGATTTGCAATATGATGTTTTGTAATATACAGAATATAAACCACATTCTTCACCACCTTCTTGGCTTATGATTATAAACGTCATTATATTCGTGCATGTTTTGTATAAACTAATGAATTTTTTATAGAAGTTCAAAGGAAGAACATGTATGTGTGTGTTTATACATATACCTATGTGGGAGTATATTTGTGTAAACTACAGACACACACACACATACACACAGGATTATTTCAAACAGTTTGTGGAAATTTAGAGCTGAAAGTTACATGTGACCTCCATTGTGGCACAGCAGGTTAAGCCGCTGCCTGCAATGCCAGCATCCCATATGAGCTCCAGTTTGAGTCCAGGCTGCTCCGTTTCCAATCCAGCTCCTTGCTAATGCACCTGGGAAAACAGCTGAAGATGGCCCAAGTGCTGGGACCTCTGCTACTCATGTGGGAGACCAGGATGGAGTTTGGGCTCCTGGCTTCAGCCTGGCCCAGCCTGGCCATTGCAGCCTTTGGGGAATAAACTAGCAGATGGAAGATCGCTCTCTTTCTCCCTCTCTCTGTCCCTCTGCCCTTCAAATAAAAGAATGTCTTTTGGATTTTTAAAAATTTATTTTTGTACAAAAACTTTTAAAATATCATCATAGTTTTTCATAATACACATTTTCCATGAACTTTTTGAGACCTCTCTTGTTTCTGTAAGACTAACCATGGTGGGGCCAGCGCCATGGCGCACTAGGTTAATCCTCCACCTGCGGCGCCGGCAGCCCACATAGGCGCTGGTTCTAGTCCCGGTTGCTCCTCTTCCAGTCCAGCTCTCTGCTGTGGCCTGGGAAAGCAGTAGAGGATGGCCCAGGTCCTTGGGCCCTGCACCCTCATGAGAGACCCGGAAGAAGCACCTGGCTCCTGGCTTCGGATCGGTGCAGCTCCAGCCATTGCGGCCATTTGGGGAGTGAACCAACGGAAGGAAGACCTCTCTCTCTCTCTCTCTCTTTCTGTAATTCTACCTGTCAAATAAATACTAATCATGGGGCTGGCACTGTGGCACACTGGGTAAACACCCTGGCCTGAAGCGCCAGCATCCCATATGGGTGCCGGTTCAAGACCCAGCTGCTCCACTTCCAATCCAGCTCTCTGCTATGGCCTGGGAAAGCAGTACAAGATGGCCCAATTTCTTGGGCCCCTGCTCCCAGGTGGGAGATCTGGAAGAAGCTCCTGGCTTCAGATTAGTGCAGCTCTGGCCGTTGCGGCCAATTGGGAGTGAACCAGCAGATGGAAGACCTCTCTCTCTCTGCCTCTCCTCTCTCTGTGTAACTCTGACTTGCAAATAAATAATAAGTAAATCGTTTAAAAAAAGACTAATCATATAAATAACCTATAAAAAGAAGAAGGTATTTATGTTTAATACAGTCAAATCATCTTCTATACTTTCCTGAGGATTACAGTAAAATGTTGCAAACAAGGGGAAGTATAAAGTGACAGTAGCTATTCTGCCAGAACAGTCTTTGCAAACAATTTGCACTTCTTCCTAAAGCTTTTCTCCCTGTTTCAAAAAGCGGGACTTGCTGAAGGAAACTGGAAGCGTGAACGGTTAGAGCAGCCAGTGAAAGAGTGGGGTTCCAAGAAGCTTCAGGACTGTTTCTGTCCATGGGCACCTGCCACCAGCACTTTCACTGTTGAAGGAGATGGCAGTAGTGCCTTCCGGGACTGAAATAATGCCAGAGCCGCCCGGATCTCCAGTTCTTCTCGTGGGTTGTTCTTCCCGCTGGGATTCTCTGAGCTGGATTGCTTTGCCCAGTACCTGGATATAAGTAGCTTATGGAGCTGGTAAAGCAAAGAACACCAGCTTGTCTGGAAATTAGCTACAGGAAAGGGGCGTGCACTGTGCCAAATTCTCAGGTGTTCGGATAAAGGGGCTCAAAGATTTAATAGAACTCTGTGGAGAATGTAAATGTGATGACAAGAATTCACTATATATTTTGGTAGCAAAATCACTTAATTTCATTTTGGGAGTGTTGGAAATCAACTACCTTTCTTTGATGGATTATCCAATTATTATATTGGGGCAGGAATTTTTTTACTCAAGTTAATAATTTGCATGTTTATGCAAAAAACAAAGTTATTGCTTTTATCTTGGCTTCATCTTTTTCTTCTCAATTCAATAATTATCCATAACTGGATTTATAAACATTAAAAGCTGGCAGGTATCAGAGTACAAAATAACTCTTTAATTGTTTTTTTCTCCCCTTCCTCCTTTTCCCATTCTTGCTTTGGAAAGCCTAATAGATTTATGTATCAAAATATTGGTGATTCCAATTTGAGAATATATCCCATTTGATTACTTGCAGAAGAAAGAAAAAAGTAAAAATGTTAATATAAGTAGTATCTCTAATGTTGCACCAAATAGATGCTGTTTCATTTTCTTAGAGAAAGAAATTGGGCATTGTGAAATTTCCCGGAATTCTTTGAATTATTCAACTGTGTACGACGGCTACTTCAGCAAGTTTACAAAAGAAATGTGGTTTAATTTAAAACATCTTTGACTCGGACTTTGAACCTCGTTACACACGTGAGCTCCATGACTGCTCTATAAGCACTTGTTACTTCTTACAGTTTCATATTTCATACATGTCAGATTATTATCTTACCCTCCCCAGAAATTTGGGTCATAAGAAATCAGATTCATTTTTGCTTGCAATAGATAAATGGCAAAAAGCTAAAAAAAAAAAGCCGATGAATTCTTTATTTGTTTATTAAGAGATATAAATAAGATTTCTGACCAAATTTTCAGTTTCTTCAACTCAGTGGTTCAGTTTTTGTGGAATACATGTATCATCAGGAATAAAGTGTCGTATCAAGTCTTAAGGTGGGAGACTAACTTGGCACACACTCTGATAACCCCTAGTGTGGATATGCACGTGCTGGTATAGGCAGTCATATCGCCACAAAAAAAGCATTTGCAGAATGCATAGCCTAAAACCCTCGGAGACCGTCCATTTCTAACTCCAGAGCAGCCGTAGTGTAACTGCACAAACTACCAAGTCAGGCAACAGCCTGTGTCTTGTCTAAACTAGAAGATTGACCTAAAAGCGAGGAGACCTGGCTCCAGCTCTTTTTCCCTCTTTCTAGTCGTTTCCTTTGCTTTGCTTTGTGGGAGGATTTTGATTTCCACCAGAGTACAAGCTCACAACACATTATTGGTTTTCATTACTGTTTCCAAACACATACCACACCATAGGAATGCTAAAGACTAATGGCTCCTTTCCTTAGGAGCTAAGGTTTTATCTTGGGATGAATCCTGTGTGTCTTATGAGACCCTCCAGCACCCGTCTGCAGCACGTTTTTGGATGACCCTTCTAGTCTGCCCCCTCCACTTGATAGGATCTCAAGGCAGCAGTCAGTGCCTACACTTGGAAGGCCAGGCCTCCCTCCCAGGCTCACTCTGCGCAGCATAAACAATAGGCACCTTGTTTCACTTTCACACTGTTCCCAGCCTCTGATGACTCAGTTTATGCTTCCAGTTCCTTGGTTAAGAACAAAGATTTCATTACTGTGATAATTATTCACAAGCACCAGGGCCAGCGCCGTGGCATAGCAGGTAAAGCCGACACCTGCAGTGCCGGCTCCCTATATGGGTGCTGGATCGAGTCCCAGCTGCTCCGCTTCTGATCCAGTGCTCTGCTATGGCCTGGGAGAACAGTAGAAGATGGCCCAAGTCCTTGGGCCCCTTGAACCCATGTCAGAGACTGGGAAGAAGTTTCAGGCTCCTGGCTTCAGATTGGCCCAGCTCTGGCCTTTGTGGGCATCTGGGGAGTGAACCAGCAGATGGAAGACCCACCTCTCCCTGCCCCTCGCTGCCTCTGTAACTCTGCCTTTCAAATAAATAAATAAATCTTAAAAAAAAAAAAAAGAGAGAGAGAGAGGCACTAACCTGGCTGTGCAGTTGTCACTGAAGAGTTAACCTCTTTATATAAATAGCACATAGCACACAACCATTTGTCTTTAAATACTGCCAGGGGTGAAAACCAGAGCTGCTAAGGAGCGCTTCCCTGGTTACCAGACACCTTCCTAGCAAGTCCACCAGCAGGGAACTGGGAATCCTAAGGGCTAACCGCTGTGTGGTTGAGGGGACAGCACCGATGGAAGGACACAACCTGAGAGCCAGCTGCGCTGACACCTTCTCCAGGCGACAAGGAAAAAGTGGGAGGGCAGAGAGACCTTTGTTTTCATCAAGGAAGCAAATACAACTCCGGAGAATTCCACAGGCAACTGAAGGCTTGAAAAGCAAACAGCTGTTTAGTCTTTAAAAGGCTCTTATTTTTTTTTTTAACTTTTATTTAGTAAATATAAATTTCCAGAGTACAGTTTATGGATTACAATGGCTTTCCACCCCCATAACTTCCCTCCCACCTGCACCCCTCCCATCTCCCACTCCCTCTCCCATTCCATTCACATCAAGATTCATTTTCAATTATCTTTATATACAGAAGATCGATTTAGTATGTATTAAGATTTCATCAGTTTGCACCCACACAGAACATAAAGTGTAAAATACTGTTTCAATACTAGTTATAGCGTTACTTCACATTGGACAACACATTAAGGACAGAGATCCCACATGAGGAGTAAGTACACAGTGACTCCTGTTGGTGACTTGACAATTTGACACTCGGCCGGCGCCATGGCTCACTAGGCTAATCCTCCGCCTTGCGGCGCCAGCACACCGGGTTCTAGTCCCAGTCGGGATGCCAGATTCTGTCCTGGTTGCTCCTCTTCCAGGCAGCTCTCTGCTGTGGCATGGGAGGGCAGTGGAGGATGGCCCAAGTGCTTGGGCCCTGCACCCCATGGGAGACCAGGAGAAGCACCTGGCTCCTGGCCTCTGGCCATAGCGGCCATTTGGGGGCTGAACCAACGGAAGGAAGACCTTTCTCTCTGTCTCTGTCAAATTAAAAAAAAAAAAATTAACTTTCCTTTAATAAAGAGTAACAATTTGACACTCATTTATGGCATCAGTAATCTCCCTAGGCTCTAGTCATGAGTTTCCAAGGCTATGGAAGCCTTTTGAGTTCACCGACTTCAATCTTATTTAGACAAGGTCATAGTCAAAGTGGAAGTTCTCTCCTCCCTTCAGAGAAAGGTACCTCCTTCTTTGATGGCCCCGTTCTTTCTACTGGGATCTCACTCGCAGAGATCTTTCATTTAGGGTTGTTTTTTTTGTTGTTGTTTTTGTTTTTGTTTTTGTTTTTTTTTGCCAGAGTGTCTTGGCTTTCCATGCCTAAAATACTCTAATGGGCTCTTCAGCCAGATCCGAATGCCTTAAGGGCTGATTCTGAGGCCAGAGTGCTGTTTAGGACATCTGCCATTCTATGAGTCTGCTGTGTATCCCACTTCCCATGTTGGATAGTTCTCTCCCTTTTTTATTCTACCAGTTAGTATTAGACACTAGTCTTGTTTGTGTGATCCCTTTGACTCTTAGACCTATCAGTGTGATCAATTGTGAACTGAAGTTGATCACTTGGACTAGTGAGATGGCATTGGTACATGCAATCTTGATGGGATTGTATTGGAATCCCCTGGCACATTTCTAACTCCACCATTTGGGGCAAGTCCAATTGAGCATGTCCCAAATTGTACATATCCTCCCTCTCTTATTCCCACTCTTGTATTTAACAGGGATCACTTTTCAATTAAATTTAAACACCTAAGAATAATTGTGTGTTGGCCGGCGCCCTGGCTCACTAGGCTAATCCTCCGCCTTGTGGTGCCGGCACACCGGGTTCTAGTCCCGGTCGGGGCGCCGGATTCTGTCCCGGTTGCCCCTCTTCCAGGCCAGCTCTCTGCTGTGGCCAGGGAGTGCAGTGGAGGATGGCCCAGTGCTTGGGCCCTGCACCCCATGGGAGGCCAGGATAAGTACCTGGCTCCTGCCATTGGATCAGCGCGGTGCACTGGCAGTGGCGGCCATTGGAGGGTGAACCAACGGCAAAGGAAGACCTTTCTCTCTGTCTCTCTCTCTCTCACTGTCCACTCTGCCTGTCAAAAAAAAAAAAAAATTGTGTGTTAATTAAAGAGTTCAACCAATAGTATTAACTAGAACAAAAAAAATACTAAAAGGGATAAAGTATTAAATTGTACAAATTTTAACAGAATTGATTCTTGTAGACTCTGAGATCACTGCATACAAGCATAAAACTGAAGCATATATGGTGTCATCTTGAAAGTATTCATGGAAAAAATGTTTTTAGTACTTAACTATTTAATATTTGCTAAATTATCTTTGATATTTACTGTTTAATAAAATTAACATTGGAAGCATTTCCAACTGTTCAGAGTAGGCCATGATGCAAGTCCTCCAAGTTCTTGCAGGGAGCTTTATCTAAGGTGCTAACTGGAGCTCCACTGTGACGGAAAACTGAAATGTCTTCAAATAACGTCACAATTGGCTACATACTTACGTGTCTATATGTACATTTACAACTAATGGTATAGTGCATAGAAGTAATTACATCTACCAGCAACAACTCATAAATGGAACAGTGATCTACACAAGGAACAATATTCTACACTGGTCTGCTAATTAATTCCCAGTCCACATCCCCTATAAATTAACATCCCAAATGCTGCTGAAACTAGAAATACTACAGTTATCATAGTTTATCACCACTTTCAAAAAACAAAATATGCCTCTCTGTCCCTCCCTTTCTCTCTCTCCGAAACTCTGCTTGTCAAATAAATAAAATAAATCTTGAAAATACAGATAAATGGCCGGCGTCATGGCTCACTTGGCTAATCCTCTGCCTGCGGCACCTGCACCCCAGGTTCTAGTCCTGGTTGGGGTGCCAGATTCTGTCCTGGTTGCTGTGGCCCGAGAGTGCAGTGGAGGATGGCCCAAGTGCTTGGGCCCTGCACCCCATGGGAGACCAGGAGGAAGCACCTGGCTCCTGGCTTCGGATCGGCGCAGAGCACCAGCCGTAGCGGCCATTTTGGGGGTGAACCAACAGAAAAGGAAGACCTTTCTCTCTGTTTCTCTCTCTCACTAACTCTGCCTGTCAAAAAAAAAAAAAAAAAAAAAAAAAAAGGCCGGCGCCGCGGCTCACTAGGCTAATCCTCTGCCTTGTGGCGCCGGCACACCGGGTTCTAGTCCCGGTGGGGGCTCCGGATTCTGTCCCGGTTGCCCCTCTTCCAGGCCAGCTCTCTGCTGTGGCCAGGGAGTGCAGTGGAGGATGGCCCAGGTGCTTGGGCCCTGCACCCCATGGGAGACCAGGAAAAGCACCTGGCTCCTGGCTCCTGCCATCGGATCAGCGCGGTGCGCCGGCCGCGGTGGCCATTGGAGGGTGAACCAACGGCAAAGGAAGACCTTTCTCTCTGTCTCTCTCTCTCACTGTCCACTCTGCCTGTCAAAAAAAAAAAAAAAAAAGAAAGAAAGAAAGAAAGAAAGAAAATACAGATAAATATGTAATTAAGTGTTGTGGGTTACCTACAATTTCCTGGGACTACAAGATCCTAGAGTGTTTTCTAAGAACAAAGAAATTCTTACATATTTGAAAATGTATCTGCCTTAGCATGTCTGGTTCTGTAACGGAAGCTGTGCCACCCTTTTCTCTTTCCGCCTTTATAAGTGACTGGTTTTCCTTTTGGTTGCAACAGATGGGAGCGGGGACAGGCCCTGCAGTGGAGGGTGGCCCGAGCGCTTGGGCCCACGCCACTCATGGCTCCTGGCTTCAGCCTGACCCAGCGCTGGCTGTTGTGGCCATCAGGGAGTGAACCAGCGGATGGAAGATCTCCTCTCTCTCACTCTGCAACTCTGCCCTTCAAAGTAGATAAATAAATCTTTTTAAAAAATTTTAAAAACAAAATGAAATAGGAGCAAAACTGATGTCCACAAGGCTGTTCCAGGCTCAGCAATATTCAGAATTGTGAAGCCAAAGCACTTGATTTACAGGGGCCATGTTCTACTCCATCTATGCTTCAGTTCCTTATTAAGGGAAAGCCACTTTACTTTTGAGTAATTTTACACTGAAATGACATTTTTCAGGGCTTTAGAAGTCTGAATAATGCTAAACCAAGCTTTTTGAAAGCGAGCGCATCTTCTGGAATGTGATAAATCATGTCATCTCGCACTCAGAGGGCAGCTTTGACTGGTGCACCTACAACAATGAGCCGGTGGTAGTTATGATTCTATAGTTAATTATTTTTTTATTTAACTTTATCAAAATATATTCTCTTAGTAATGCTTTCTCCGGAAATAAAATACAACACTTTCTGGACACGTGCCCTATTTTCATCAAGGAAACGGATATCAGTGTAGTGATTCTTGGCATGATGTCCTATTAATTTTTCTTCCGTAATTTACAATTTTCAGACATCTTTTTACTATGTTGACATGAGCCAAGTACAACTCCCATTTTATTGGACATGATTTCCCTATAATACAGATTTTTTAAAAGATTTTATTTATTTTTCTTTAAATATTTTTTTATTTATTTGAGAGGTAGAGTTAAAGAGAGTGAGAGAGAGACAGAGAGAAAGGTCTTCCTTCCGTTGGTTCACCCCCCCCAAATGCCACAACGGCCGGAGCTGTGCCAATCTGAAGCCAGGAGCCAGGAGCTTCTTCTGGGTCTCCCAGGCAGGTGCAGGGGCCCAAGCACTTGGAAGATGGAAGACCTCTCTCTCTCTCTCTCTGCCTCTCTGTAACTCTGTGTTTCAAATAAATAAAATAAATCTTTAACAAAAAGAAAACAGTATTAGATAATGTACCCTAGAATTCATGAACTTTAGAGCGGAAAAGGACAATAACCATGTTCTAGTCTAACTCTCATTTGACAGAACAAGCGGGAGGCCTAAAGTGAATGACTGATTGATGGTGACATAATTTGTTGCCAAGACAAAACTTCCAGGACAGGGTTTTTTCTTGTCCAGAATTATGAAATACAAGTTTTCCATTTTAATTGTGACATACAGTATACTGCACCAATTTTATTTCTTTTTAAATCATGGCAATGAGACATGCTATTACCAAAAAACTATCAAGTCATTCTACTTCTTATTTATTTATAAGCTAGAAAGCAAAATCAAACATAGCACAATTATGATGGATTTTCAAAGGAATAAATAGCAAAGATTTGGAAGCTAATTTGACTCTGACCCCATAATACACGGTTTCTATAAATCTAATTAGACAGAGAAGCATGTAGAAAGTTTTTTCCCAAAAGAGACATTTGCCACTATTAAAAAAAAAAAAAAACCACTCACTGTCAGGTAGAATTTTTCCTTAGTAGGATTAGCGGTGCCATCTCGTTTTAATCGTTTATAATTCGGTTAGACAAGAACGGGCGGCCTATCTAACCAACCGTCTCCAGAATGAGAAGCTGGGGCACACATGCTCTGGGCTGGGGAAGAAGCGAGAACTCCTAAACACTCCAGGACAAGTTGTTCTGGCTGGGGAGGAGACGGGGGCGCCCGCCCGCCAAGTTCAGGTTTTGTGACAGAACTGGAATTCGCCCTTGGACTTCCGGGAACCCCTGCCTGGAAGAGGGAGAGGAAGGGCCCATTCCAGCGTCGGGACCACGGAGAGGCCGGCAGAATGGACTCCGGGACAGCTCTCCGCGGCTGCTCCAGCGAGTCTGCATCTCAACTTTCCGTATTCTCATCACGCGCCATCCGCAGCTCCTTGCGCGCGGCGCGGCCGTCAGCCACGACCCGAGTCCCTGCTGTCCCCGCCGAGCGTCTCCGAGTCGGCCAGAGGCGAGCCGCGGCCGGAGGCCGCCCGAAGGGGTCCTGCGGGGCAGCCGGATGGCGGATAAGCGGCCTCCGGTGGGGCTGGAGGCCGGAAACTGTGAGAAAGCCAGAAACACAAAGGGTCAGCGCCGCCAGGAAGCCCCTCCGGAGTCCCGCCCTCCGCTCTGCGCGACCCCCAGCTGGGGAAGAGAAAAGGACATCCCCCCGCCCCAACGCACGGTTCATTCACCACCTTGTCCTCGAGAGAGAACGAGTCACTAATGAATGAATGAATGCGCTTATACCGGGACGTGGTGAACCACGGCGGGGGCAGGAGGGTGTGTTCTACCTTTCATTTCCTGGAGAAAACAGACAATTGGAGTTTCAGCGCCTAACCTGAGGCAGAAATTAGAAGTCCCTCCCTGCCACGCACAGCACCCTGTACCCATGCACCTAAAAATCCTCGCATTGTGGGTTTTGGCTTTAAGAACTCCATATATATATATATATATATATATACACACACACACACAATATACATACACATACACGTATGCACATACACTTTACACAGATTATAAACTATACATATGTATGCATCTTAAATTAGGTCCAAAGAAAGGTTTCTTATTCTGTTCAGAGCGCTCCAGATATACGACATCAATGCACCCTGAGAGAAGGAAAAAAACAAAACAGGAAAACGAGCTCCCTGTTCACCTTGTTTTTGAACCAATACCCGAAATAATGACCGAAGCAGAACTCGGCCGGCGTCAGCGCGGGGTGCTCGGCCTTGCGCTCCATCCTGGCAGATTGGGCCGCGGCTCCGGGCCCCTAGAGCAGGTAGATGATGTAGGACAGGACGACCAGGCCGATGATGGCAAACAGCATCAGGATGAAGATATCCAGCATCGTGGAGTCTCGGCTGCCCAGGCCCCGGGGCTGCGGGCGCGGAGCTGGCCCTGGGTGCGGAGAAATGGCTCCTCGCCCCGCCCGGGCTCGGCGCCCCCTTCTGGTCCCCGAGCCCCGCCCCCAGGCTAGAGACCCCGGGATGCGGCGGCTGCGTCCGCGGCTCACTCCCGCCTCCGCCGCAGCCGGCCAATCGCAGAGCAGGGGTGGGGGTGGTAGCCAGGGAGCGGCTAGGTGTGGACCGCTGTCCACGGCTAGGTGTGGACCGGGACGCCGGCGGCTCGACTGCCCGCAGGGGTCCCTGGTTGGGGAGGACAGAGGCTCGCCCGGTCCCCTGGGAGTGACTCCTCCTGACTGCTCGCTTCTTCCCTGGCGGATTGTCTCCGAAAAATGATGGGCGGTGCAGGCTCCTGGCTTCCGCCTGCCCCGCCCGAGCCGTTGCGGTCATTTGGGGAGCGAACCAGTGGATGGGATGGGAGATCTCTCTCCCTGCCTCTCTCCGTAACTCCGCCTTTCAAATCAAGCAATCTAACAAAAGCAATAGATGGGAGCCAGGTAGGCAGTGGCAAGTCCCGAGTCACGTGACGGCGACCCTGTTTGCGATCCTTTTGCACTGCGCTGGACACTGCCCCCGTGGCGCAAGTCCACCCTCCCCAAGCGCTTTCTCCACGGGGCTCAGAGGTGGTCAGGAAGCGGCCTCGTGCTCACAGCATGGAAATGGCGGGGACTGAGACTCACCACGAGGCCGGCAGACCCCACAGCCCGCACCCTTTCCCCTGCTTCCGGCCAGCTGGCCCGGCGGGTCCCGAAGCCCTCCACCCTGTCTGCACTGGCTGCTCTGTGCCGTGCACTTGGGTTTTGTGGCTCCATTTGCCGGATGGGCCCCCACAGCTCTCCTCCTACTCCTCCCCCCCCCCCCATCTCCCTTCTGCACCACAGTGTCCTGTGCAGAGACGTCACTAAAGCCCATCCCGGTGGTTTCTTCCGAGGCCAAAAGGAGGACTGGTGTATATTATTTTTGTAAAGACTCAGTTATGGCGTGCTGTTTTGCATTATTTTTCTAAAGAAAATAGAGGGGAGAGACAGACAGACAGACGGACATAGATTTTCCTTCTGCTGGTTTACTCCTCAAATGCTCACGCAGCCTAGGCTGGGCCAGGCCAAAGCCAGGAGCCAGGAGCTCAATCCAGGTCTCCCACATGGGTGGCAGGGACTCAGCTACTTGAACCACCACTTCCTGCCTCCCAGGGCACACATCAGCAGGAAGCTGGAATTGGATGCGGAGCTGGGGACTTGTTCTCCGCACATAGCTTTCTGTGAGCAGGGAGGGGAGGGGAGGGTGGCACCGATGCCCCCAAGGCAGACGGGCCCCTCAAATTGCTCTGGAGGTGGAGGAAGTCGGGGGGAGGGGCTGCAGCTCTGCAGATTGGGGCAAGCCATGCCTGCTCCTTCGTGTCCACTGGGGAAGCAAGAAGAGGCAGGTGCTCGGGGGGCGGGGCACGCTCGGGGGGCGGGGTGCAGGGCACGCTCGGGGGCGGAGCACGCTCGGGGGGGGGGGGGGGGGGGACACAGCAGGACCTTTAACCAGCCAGTGCCCTCGATCCCTCCACTGCTGCAGCTCTACCTGGCTCTCCTCCGACAAACCTCAGGGTTGGGGGGGGGGAGCCTGTCCCCCCCCATTGCTCTTATCCTGAAACCAGAGAACCCCCGCCTTCTGAGCCCGACATGGGCGTCCCCTCCCCACTGAGCAGCTGCACATGGGCCCACTGGTGGCCACATGGCAGCAGAAGGGACTGGATTCCCTTCTCCCTTAGCCTCTTCCCAACCCCTTGAGCAAGAGGGGTGGCGGCCTGGACTTCCGGCCGGAAGTCACAAACCCTAAGCACCTGTCACAAAGCTGGGCAGGTGGGAGATGCTGATCTGAGAGCAGCTAAGGTCAGGGCACGGCATGGCCCTCTGAGCACCGCGTGGGGGTCCCAGCTCCGCCACTGGCTGTAGGACTTCCACCAAACCATTTTGCCCTTCGGGGTGTCAGTGAGCCACCTGTGAGCGGACACTGTGAGAAGACTGAGGGCACCACACTGCCATGGCATCAGGCACACTGCTGCAGGCTGCCGGGCCCCGCCCACTGGGAGCTGTCACTCATCCCGTTCCTCAGACACTTGCGGAACTCCTACCACGTGCCGGGCTGAGCTCATTCACTAGTTCACACGGGTTTGCACAGCAGCTCCAGGCCTGCCCCTGGCCAGGTAAGCAGGGACTTAAAGGGGACCTACCCTGAGTGCACTGGCTGGTGGAGAAGTGAGCCGGTCCCAGGAGACAGAGCTCAAGGGCTCTCCCGGTCACCAGGCTGGGCAGGGAGGGTGATGCGTGGAGGGAAGCCAGAACCAGGCTTGAGGAAAAGTTCTCACGGAGCAAGCCTGGGGGCCGGCGCTGCAGGGCCTCAGCCGAAGCTGCCACCAACATGCTGGCACTGCATCTTGCAGCAGCCAGTTCTAGTCCCAGCTGCTCCCTGCTAATGCGCCTGGGGAGGCAGTGGAGGATGGCCCGTGCTTGGGTTCCTGTTACCCATCTGGGAGACCTGAACGCAGTTCCTGGCTCTGGCTTTTGCGATCATTTGGGGAGTGAACCAGTGGTTGGATGATCTCTGTCATTCTGCTTTTCAAAAAAAAAAAAAAAAAAAAAAAAAAAAAAAACAAAAAAAAACACAACAACAACAACTTAAAAGAGGGAGGAGAGCAAGCTTGGGCAGGTGTTATGATACAGGGGGCTTGGCCCCACCTTGGGACGCCTGCGTGCTGGTTTCACACCTGCCAGATAATGGCTCGAGTGCTTGGGTCCTTGCCACCACATGGGAGACACAGACGGAGTTCAGGACTCCTGGCTTTGGTCTGGCTGAGCCCTGGTGGTTGTGAGCATTTGGGAAGTGAACTGGCGGATGGAAGCTCTGTTGCTTTGCCTTTCAAGGAGGTAAGAAATAAGAAAAGGAAAGGAAAGAAGGAAGGAGCAAGCAGGAGCCAAGGCCCGCATCTGCCTCCTGGTCCCTGGACTGGCCCTCCTCCACCGGGAAGGCAGCGGGCACACGCCCCAAACACCCAGGTTGGACACATGCACGCGCGTGTGCACACCCACCCACCCACACACAGCAGCCCACAGCCAAGGAGGCAACCAAGTCCACAGGTAAAAATTAGACTTTTATTTGAGTCACCAGGAGAAAGATTCACTTGTGGTTCAAGTCAAACGTTCAGAATCCTAACAGGCCAGAGAGATTTGATCCCGAGCACAAGCCCACGAGCAAGGGGACTGAAACAGACGCAGGAAGACAACAACCCCATATAAAAAGATGAGCGGTGGCGTCACACACACGGATGAAACGTCGGGACAGGGCGAGTGCCGCGCGGCCACCACCTCGGTGTCCTTTAAATACAGGTTTGGGGGTGCTATTTCATTTTGCTTTTTTTCCAGCTATAAAAAAGGCCCCAAAGTGCATATGTGGGGGGGGGGGAGACAGAAATGAAGCAAGAGTTTTCCCTGGGGTACCTGAAGGGGTGGGAGGGGGCAGGAAGCAGTGTTGAGAGAATTCACATTTCTCACGCTCTCACTCACCGTGGGGCTGTTTGTATTTTATTATTGGTCCACAAAGTTGAATTCACATTCTAGCTTTGACGCGTATTTTTTTGTCCTGGGGCTACTGGCTAAAAGACCTCTGTGAAGGCCACCAGAAAACCAGGGCCTCAGCCCCAGCCCGGGGGTTTCTGGGAAGGAACATGGACTCCCGGCAGCCCCTGGGCCCCTCAGCACCAGAGTGACAGTCCCTCCTCTCCTCGCTCTGGGGGCGTGTAAGGTGTCCCCTACTTTTAGGACGGGAGGGGTTGGCACAAGATTCCAGTGGCGGGCCTGCCTTGCTTTGGAAGAAAAATTGAGCTGAGTGAAAACAGGCGGCCGCTTGCTCCCAGGGGTGCCCCCTCCCACCCACCAGTCCTCCAACAGGGGGTGCCCTTGACCTTTGGTCCCCAAATCCACTGTGCTTTGAGATCAAGAGGAATGGACTGGATCAGTGCCTCCCTCATCCCCCACCCCCAAGAGCCGACCTGACACCCACCTGCCTCACCGGGGGAGGGGGGGCAGGACTGTTGGCGGCAGGGCTCCTCACCCAGTCATTTCCTCGGGCAAATGTTCCCAAACCAAGTCCAGAGAAGACGCCCGGCCCTCAGCTGCAGGGCGGACAGCCGTGTGGCCTGCGAGACTCAGGGTGACATGGGGAAGGGGGGTGTCTGGAGGGGCAACGAGAAAGCCCAGAGATGAATCAGGCCAGGCCAGGGCTGCCCCGCCCCCCGCCAGTCGGAGGGGGCGTGGAGATAGCACCGTCTTTCCCCCCCGCCCCTGGTGTCCGGGCTTCCAGTTCTGCAGCCTGGAATCCTGCCCCTGCTTCCAGGGGTTCTGTGTAAGCGAGGGGGAGGACACGGAGATGGGGGAGACAACAGGCCGGGAGCCCCGCCAAGTCTGCCCAGCGCTCTGCACCCTGGCCGGCAGGAGTAGGCAGGGGAGCTCCCTCCGTTCAGAGAGGGGAGCAGAGCGGGAATTTCCACTCCAGGAAAACATCAGAAACGTCTCTCCCCTCCCACGGTGGGCTTGGAGCTGGGGAGCAGGGGAGGGGGCCCTGGGCACCCACTGCAGACACGTACTGACGTTCCCCCACACAGGGCACAGGCGCAGGCAGCCTTGGGCACATGGAGGGTCCTGGTGGCCTGGCCCAGCTCCGAGTCCATGAGGCACTGGGCTGGGGAGGGGCGGCCAGGAAGGCCCTGAGACCGCCTCCCTCCAGCAGGGAGGAGCCACCCACCTCACCCAGAACCTGGGGGCTGGGGTTGGGGTGCAGGCCACAGGACCCCTGGGGGTCCTTTCCCTACCTGCAGGACCCAGCCTCCAGGGAGGCAGTGAGGGTCCCGAGATCAGGGGTGGGAATACGGACAGAACACCCTGCAGCCCTCCCTCCTGCGGCCGCCCCTAAACACAGGGAAAGGCCCCAGCGGCGCTGCCCATGGGAGCTCTCTGCTCACCCCGGGTCTACGTGGCCAGAGGAACACACGTGGGGAAGGTGTGGGCTCACCAAGTGAGCACCCCACTCCCCTTGCTGTTGCCCTGGAGGAGGGAGAGGGTGGTAAGGGAGACCCTTGGTGGGCCCCTCCTTCAGACAGAGAGGTAGAGCCCACCGCCTCGGGCCCTGCACAGCGCGGAGCCCCAGCCCCAGGCCAGGCACCACGGAAGTGGACTCCCACTCTGGGCAATGCAAGGGAGCCGCGCCCTGGTGGGGCCTGGACTCAGGGGCTCCCGGAATGTTTGGGGGTGTGAGGGGCAGGGCGGGAGGGTCGGAGAGGGCAGAAGAGAGAGGAAGGCAAGGCCTGAGAGCCAAGAGATCTCCTCCAGGCCTGCTCCATCCAGAGAGAAAAACCAAGACATGGG